TCAAAGATTTACATAAACTGTTACAGGTTATATTTTGTTTCCAGTCTATAACACTTCCATAGTTCAAGGGATTTTAAAAATACTTTGCACAAATTATCATGATAATAAGACAATAAGCAGGCGCAAAACATGGGTCCCTACCTTCAAGGTCACACTTGGAGATCAAAGATAAACATAGTCTGTTATAGAGTGTATTTTGTGTCCGATCTATAACTTCTTCATAGTTCAAGGGATTTTGAAAATACTTGGCACAAATAGTTACAATAATAAGACGATATGTCATGCACAACACCTGCACCCCTACCTCCAAGGTCAAGGTCACACTTAGAGGTCAAAGCTTAACATGATAGATTTTTAAATTCTGTGTTTCATTTTATTTCTTTAATAAATTTATTGTTGCATTTGCAGATCTAGCATTGATCATAATTTTGGACTGAAAGTCCTGAGATCCATACCTCAATCTTTTGAAATAGCACAATTTTATGCTTCATATAAAACTTCCCCGAGGCGGGGGACGTTGGTAACTCTGTTACAAATTCTTGTACATTCACCATTTTTTTTCTATAAAAAGATTTTCAGAGTATAATAACTGTTGATTTCTCAAAATAGATTTTCTGGAGATGTGCCAAAATATATGCCTTTATGACTTTACATCACATCTGTTTTCTTGTTATTATTCTGAAGAAGTTTCTGCAATCATTAAATATATTTTTTACAGTGCATATCACATTGTAAAAATTCTGTACTTGTATTATATAAATTATATATATTTTGCTAAAATAGTTTTTAAAAAAAGACTAAGTTGATCTGTTTACATCTTGGATTTATTAAAGACTTGAACTTGTTGTTTTGACAGTTGTCGGGTAATTGATTAATTAATCAATTTTGTTCTGATTTTAATGTGCATTTATGAATAATATCCTAGTCTTCAATGTGTTTATAATTAATATTTTCATATTCATTCATTTTCTTGTGATGCAAACAGACATGTTTAACAGGGAGATTGACTGACTATTATATGACATTTTTACTTCATTTTTAGCTTGACTGTTCCAAGAATAGGGAGAGCTATTGTACTCACCCAAGGCGTTGGCGATACACTTTGGTTAAATTTTGCATGTAAGTTGGTATCTTCACAATTACTAAACAGAATGAGTTAAATCTTAACACACTAATTTGAGAGCATAATAGGAGGTCACTATCCAAGGCCAATAAGTGTAACCTCGATCTTGACAGAATTATGGCCCTTTTTGAGCATTATCCAGACTCTTGTTTTAGTATTAAGTACTGAGAATAGTCAAGCTTGCTGTCATACTGACAGATTTTCATTTATCAGGTTGTGTTATTTCTTTCTTCTGTAGATATATTTTAAGTTCACTGTGGTATATTTCAACGGATAAAGATGTAACTTATTGTAATGTGATTTTCATGGTATCCCCAACATGATAATGGACTGTTCCAAACTGGCAGTGGTGTAGAGGTTACAGTGTTGCATTGATCCCTATATATCTCAGTTTTAAATGATACAGTTTTTAAATGTAATATTTTTTTGTGTATTTGATCATTTTAATCTGCTATGTATTCATGATTTTTTTTGTTACATATATGCACTATTTACGCAATTCATACATACATTTTACATAGTTTATAGTTTAATATAAAACATGGGGTTTTTACTTTTAAAGGCAGGTTATAGTTGTTAAGGGTAATAACGTATATATATACCTTTATTATTGTGGCTGTTTTTATTTTTCTATATTAGTAATATAAAGGGACTCTACTGAGGTTTTTACATGAAGGAACTAGAATTTTTTTTGAAGAAATGTGTACCATATGATGTTGGTCTATGCATAATTGGAAATAGTTTTAACACTTTAATAAGACTAAGAATTGCACAAAAATTGACTTCTGAAAAATACTTAATTTGGAGTATATTTTATCTTAATCTTTTGTATGATTTTTTTCACTTTAATTGCACCAGTTAACAATTTAGTTTTTATGTTTTAGACTTTTGTACCTCAGTTGAATCCCTTTAAACTAATTAGAAAGTTCTCTGAAACAATCTTGCAAAGAATCATGCAATCATTTAAGAATGTTATAAGAAATAGACTTAATATACAGGCTGAAAAGAAATGCATTAACTGTTGATTATTACACATTTCATATGTCCGCCATTTTATTATTCCCCATTTCTTTTTCATTGTCTTGACTGTCCGAGGTCTGATTAAATAAAGTTTACAGGAATATATTTAACACTATGACATAGTTGTACATATTTTGCTAGCATATTGATGTTTAACAGAGTTACTGCCCTTTCATGTGATCAAAATCAATGTTTGTAAGTAAAGTTACTGTTACAATCAGGTTATGTACATGTTACTCCCATTATGTGATACAGCTATGATATTACCCAAACATTGTTGTATATATTTTGCTAGCATTATGACAATGTGTTTTTTAGAGTTACAGGCCTTTTTTACATGATCAAAACAAAATGAGGTTTAGACAAGTTTCCATTTTAACACTGTTCTGTTTATTATATATCCTGCATAATGGAAGGTAAGTGTTAAATTGATATGTACATTATATTTTTTTATCAGTTCAACATATTTGATGACGATCCCAGTCTTAGGTCAAATATTAGTGAGGTCAAGGTCAGATATTTGTACGGTCAAGATTAAATTGATATATAGGTTAGATATATAAATGTAACATATTTATGCAAATTTTTCATATTGTTTATAAAAGTCAAGTATGTTTAAATTAGTGTCCGATATATACAATAATGCTGAGGAATTTATTTTGGTCCGAAAGATTAAAGAATGGTTTATTGTTTCTTGTTTGAGCTGTCCTAGAAAAGAATACATTGTTAGTTGTCTTATTGTGCTGAATTCAAATTTGATTTGATTTGATAAATACTAGCCAGTGTCTGTACATATCTTGTCAAACTTGCCTTTTTGGTTAAGCCGAAATATTTTTCAATTTTTAAATTGTATCAAACATGCGAATTTGTAATGTTCTTTTTTTTTTAATCAGTTCAGTTATTGGTCAATCAAGTGTTTGCTATGCAAGAAATAAACAGATGATGATATGTTTGTAGTTGTTTATCTATGTATCGTATAGAGTTGTGACCTAAAGGGTGATATCCCTTGAATTTTATGCATGTAAGATTTATAAAATATGAAATTTATTCATATTGTATTATGGTATGGTGCTTGTCCGTCAGTCTGTCTGTTAGTTACATTGATGGCAGCTCAGTTGCTTGATAACTGTTAACATGTGCCACCTTCATAACTGATATGGGCTATAGTTGTGTCTAGAAAATGACACTTGTGAAAGGTCACAGTTATGGAAAATCCTTATCCATCCAACAAGTTGAGAAGGAATAATCCTAGGTTTGTGAAACTTGGGAGGTGCATTGCCCAAAGTCATTCAATGGCCCCTTATTGAGTTTGAAGTCAAAAGAATAAGCTGAGGTTTATGAAACTTTGTAGGGACATTACCCAGTAGAAGACCTATATCTATTACTAGTATTACGCCAAATGTCAATGAAACAGTGACACTTCACGTGAAGTCCTGGTCAGACCATGATTTGTGACAATTGATAAGGACATTGTCCATGGCAAGTTCATGGCCCATTCGGATTTTAATGTAACAAGAATTTTAAACAGAGTTACCAACATTTCCCGTCTATGGAAAGTTTTACATCTAATAATTTAGAAGTTATTTTCTAGACAAAGAAAATAAAGACCATTTTAAGCTTTAGGTGTGTTAAATCTTTGCTGACTTGTTAAAGTAATTTTCTTTTATTTTTCAATTGAATCCTATCACTTTTCAACATATTTAATGACAGCACATACTTCTGGAGTATAATGCTCCGACACACAGCTCCCTATTTGAAATAAGATATATAGAACTAAATGTCTTCCGTGGCAAACAAAGATGGCAACCTGAAATCCAAGGTAACTACTTCCCCTTGCTTTAACAATTTACTTTTGGTATACTGTGTTCTGTAAGTTACTAAATAATGCAAACAAACCAGACTGAGATAGCAATCTTTGATCAGAATATTAAAGGGGCTCCACTGAGGTTTCTTGAAATTACAAGACTGGAAATAATTTTCCAAGTTAAATGTTTCATATGATGTAGGTTAAGACCAGTAACATTTTGTTCACAATTTCAGATCATTCGCTCCAGAAAAGTTATTATTTTGAAACACAACCCAAATTTGGAAAGCGTTGCACCGCTTTTTACTCACATCGAGCTAAAAATAGCACAAATATACAATTTTCAAATTTCGGAGAACTTTTTTGATTATCTTGTGCACATCTTTCTCTCATAATAGCTTCAGCTGACCTAATTAAGAAATTCAAACTTCATGTTTTTAAGCTTTTGGACCTCAGTGGAGTTCCTTTAAACAAAATCTATATACCGTTAGAAGCAGGAAGTAAATACACCAGTAACTATTTACTATCTTTTATTCTAACACGACCCGCATTTTTCCCTATTGAACATAGAAGAACAGAAAGTGTGTGTTACTATGCAACAGTTTGATGTTCTATATTTAGACATGTGACATAATCATTATACACGTGACGTAACCACTAAAAAACCGACGCGCTGAAAATAAGTACGGAAACAAATCAGGCGCAATTTTGCTTATCTATCAAGTACGGCAACATTTATTTGTTGATGTCGTGTTAGAATCGAAATAATATATCCAAATCAGTGATTTTATCGCTTGATAACATCACTGTTTGTCGTTTGGATGCGCATCATTATATCAATCGGGCTATGCCCTCGTGATATAATTCCTCGCATCCGAACTCCAAACAGTGATGTTATTGAGCGATAAAATCACTGTTTGGGATATATTATTTCTTAAATATGTATCCATAATTGTGTGTTTATCGACTACTGCTTGTTTTTACAAGACAAAGCTTTTGTCTAAATGGGGTCAGCTTTTATTCTTTTTTTTTTTTTAAATGAAGACAAATGCATTTTTATAGTTGACATAATTTATTTCTGATTTAACAATATTTCACTATTTTCATATTCTATAATGTAATAACAATAAAACATTTTATTCATACTATGGTTCATAATTCAGGTTTACATGAAACATGGTAGAATAGAAACACAGAACGTTACTCTAGATAAAATATAACGGTACACATACACAGCACAGAACAAACATACACCTAGCTTTACATAGCATCAAACACTACGTGTTTACACAAAATTGCACATACTAAATATAAATATTATATAAACTATCCTGACTCAAAGGTCAAGAAACTGGGTCAAAGGTCAAGAATTCAAGGTCAGAGGCAATTTGACAAATGCATCTCCGTCATTGGTCAATTTTAAAAAGTTTTCTCAAAGATACAACTAATCAGATTTTAGTAACTTGTTGGTCTAAGGTAAAAAAACAACTTTAGATGATCTTCTGACCTTGTTTTGAAGGTGAAGGATTGGAGAATAAAATCAACTTCTTCAAATATAAAAATGTCCATGTACACAATAATGAACCATGACCAGAAAAATGTTTACACTTTCTCATTGTAAATAAATATGTATAAAAACAAGTCTATTTACTTTAGCTTCTAGCTCAAAAGGTACTAATAGGCAAAAGTTCTACTGAGCATTCATTTTAAAAATGTTTTTTAAAGCAAAATATTTTATATATTACACAGTACATTTTGTTCTAAATATTGTCTCTTAATATACCCTGACCTATATAATATAAATTAAAATAAAAGTAAAAATAGAAAGCTGTTGTAATTAGAGATCTAAAGTCATCTATAATGAAGGCTAGTGAAATATTCCGTGTTCAGGGTTGTTAAAAAAATACCTGTTCTAAAACAACTGCTTATATAAATGCTTGACCAAACACACACTTGTTCTCTAAATTTTATTCACATGAACAACCCTCACTCAAATTAATGAACATCTGAACTTTTATCAGAAAACTTTCTACAGTTATAGTTCAATATTTGAGAGATAACCAAGGATCCAGGACCTACCATTCTGGCATTTTTTAAACATCTATGTGTCATATTTTGATGTGTGTTAAAAAGTTTTCATTATGTCAAGACAAATATGCTAAATCTTTGCATTTATCAATTAAATAAAAAATTAGGGGAAAAAAATCATGAGATGAAATGACCATTTATACTTTGTGTACAACCTTATGTTTGTAATAAAAGTTATTTACACATACAGTTTATTCATAAATGACTCTGAATACAGGCTTCAAATATTTCAAGAAAGTGTTTTCAAATGATAATGAATTATTAAAGCTAAAACTTTCACTTCTAGAAGCTTATTAGTGCCTTTATTTACATGTGAATATTTTACACATACAATGTTTTTCTTTGCACTATGACTTATAACCTCTACATAAAAACTAATACTGAATATAAGCCTGTCTGGCTTGTATGTTATTTAAATTATACCTTCAAACATAATGTCTACAAGCTTTATGCAAAAATTATACCAAAATAAAACAAGCATTGAATAATGGCATATACATACATGGTACAACTTCAAAATAAGAAGTAAATGCCTACACATTATGTTCCTGTATAAAAGGAAAAAAGAACACCAGAAAAACTATTATCTTTCATCATAATAGTTTTTTTTATAACTTGACAATTACTCTTATCTTCACATGTTTTTCCTCCACATAAACCCCTTCCCCTGCTGTATTTAGATAATAGACATGTCCTGTTTTTGACTTTGGAACTATCAACTGCTATTTTGAGGGAAATTTCAATATTAAAGTACCAATTTGAACAGCCAATGGCACTAAGCTAGGTCAGGCTGCAAAAATGTACAGGCAGGCATAACTCTATACTGGAAACACTGCAAAGTAAAATATCTCTGATAGCACTCTTGAATTATCTCAATATTCTTTTTGCTGTAGTTAAAAAGGAAATAAATTATACAAAGTCAATATATGAACAGAATCGTTTTGCAAAGTTTCAAATATTTAGCATCATAATTAAACATAAGCACAGACTCTCCAATAACTGAAGTCTTTTATGCTAAAATGGTAAGATGCTAAAATTTAAGCAGTCAACATTCTAGAGTCAAGTCAGCCTTGGCTTTGGGGTTCAATATAAGTAGCATTAAGCAAATTTATTATTGCTCATACTATTCAAGGGTTTATGGATCTCATATCTGGGATTAAAATACACATTGGAAATGAAGGCTTAAAACTCAAATACCGTAATCCAGTAACATTTAGGCCATGAATGCAATTTGTATGAAGGTAGAAAAACTAAAACTTAATTGCCAATTATGAGGTATCTTTGAATCAACCGTTAAATAAGGGAAGATAATTCATATCTCCCAACTTGGTATCACTACTTTACATGAGGATAAATTGTCGAGAAAAATACAAGATTTCTGCGATGATTCCAGCGTACTGGATACCACTGTAAAATACGACAGTAAACATAAAACACACACTTATACAGGAAACAATAAATAAATATAAACAAAAATTGTGCAATATTTAAAACAAGGAGGTTATCACCAAACAAAAAAAACCTTACATACATTCTTTTGCCATTAATTAAATAAAACTTCTTGTTTATCCATTATTTTATAGATAACACATCTGTAAAAATGTTAAGAAAGTTCTGCATTTTCCACAACTTTTTGTGTTCTATTTCAACAAACCCAATAGCATCCATGCAACCTGGAATAATAAAATCCAAGTCACTTTGCCACTTTGAAATCACATAAAAGGTATGCACAGTATCCAAGTGGTATGAACTTTACACACACTTTAAATCAAGAATATCTTGAACACTGTATATCACCCTGTATTAGATGTTTTTATCATAAAAGAAAAACTGAGGTGAGCATTTATCCTAAATCCCCATCCCTAGCCTTTCTAAAAGAATAATAAGATGATTTCTGAAGAATTAAACTTAACTTGCTTATCACAGAAGACTCTTTCCTTATCAAAGAATAAAACTGAACTTGCTTACCGGTATTTATAATTATCATTTTATTTGCATATTGATGCTTTTTCACAAGGTACAGTAAGCTTATGTGCAATCAAATCACAAAATTACAAACAAATTATGTAGATGATGTAAAATTGAAAGTTACCTTCTTTTGTTTTTCTGAATAGTTGAAATTAATTACAAACAAGACTTTGTTTGACTATTACCTGTGTAATTTAAAAATAATAAATGGGAATAACAGTGCATCTTCAAGGCACAATATAGTATGTATCAAGGCAGGTTTCCTTGCACACCCACACCCCACCTTACAATTTAATTTTTCAAAAGACCAGACCATTAAATTTTCTTCATTACATAACTCAAGATTTATAAACAATAAAAAAATAAGCCGTTCTAACTTCATTCTGCCCCCACATTTCAATAATGGTCTAAAATCAAGCTAGTCAAACTAGAATTTAAAACTGGCATTACATTGTACATCACAACAACGGGTGGCATTGCCAAGCAATCTTCAATCGACATTCATTCCAGACAACATCTAAAGTATAAAATTGAACTGGTTGATTTGTATTCATATACATGGTATATACTCTTCGACTATGAAGCATTTTCTTATATACAGGCAAATGTATGATCACCTATACCGACACAGTGTATCATGCATTGCCAATACTTACAGCATAAATACAGTAATCTAACTTCTACAGTCCATTGTAAAAAAATCATTTTACTATTCTTTCTACAACTTTATCACAAGTTGACAATACTCATTAAAATCTCATCTCTTATGTTCCTTCTTCTACATGGAAATGTACAAAACCTTGGCACTTTTCAAGTTATCTAGATATTTCTGCCTTCAGTGTAAACTGAAAAGGCAAACTTGTACCATACTTTCACATGTAATTCAGCATCTGTATGTCTGATTCTTTCCAGTAATCACTGCAATAAGATATTCATACTTTATGCTATTCATTTCATTGCCATATTTTATCAGCTATTGCATTCTTTTAATGATCAATCCAACACTTAACATCACAATTCATAAATAATAATTACCTCCCTTTAAAATCATGCGATACTGTATATGTTTATTTCATTTCTATAAAACTGGCCGTCTTTCACTTTGATCCAACACTTCCATTTTACTTTGCTCTCAAACATTCAGCACATTTCTTCACTAATTTCATTGAAGCAAGTTTCTTCACAAGTACAGGACCTACTGTACTAGTTTTATTGTTGTTGTTGTTTTTTCCCCCATACAACCCACTGACCCTTGATGACCTTTCACATCCAGTGGAATTCTGTCTCATAAGCACTTGCAAGATTTGCATTTCTCAACATTTCAATAAACATTCATGGCACACGTGTACATTGTACAGCACTTTCATTTTACAAACAGCATCTTCCCCAAAGATAGCCACGGAAATCATTAAATCAATATATTCTTTTAATAATTCATCATAAATATTTCATAATTAATCACTTAATATATTCAAGCTTTAGAAATATATTGATCTTTTTTTGCACTGATCCTGTTGAATTTTAACACACATCTATGTTATTATTTAGTTTGTTTTTTCAATCAAGCAGAGCTAATTGTTTTCAAAATATTATTTGTCATATACCTATTTTAGTCTATATATTTTTTTTGCACTATGTCGCCTCAGCTTTTTATTTGTTGCTGTATTTGTTGTAAAAATTCTACATATGATATACTGGATTCAGTCCTATCTTCCACAAAATGTTGGAAAAATTTCATTCTCAACTTGCCATCTTCCCTGTAAAAAAATACAAGACGTCAAATAAAGGTTTAAAATAGAATTCAGTATTGTACTCAACAATGTTTTACAACCTCATAACCTCTCAATCAAAAACTTGAAGAATTTATAATCAGTATAAAAAGATAAGCATATAGAGTAAGAAATTGGAGTAAATTTATACATAAAACAGGAGCTGCCAGTCTGCCACTAAGCTCCCCAATTCTCAGTGCCTGATGTTTAAACCAGAGCCTAGATCATGTAGAAATTCACAAAGCAGTATAATTCAGTCTAAAGCCAGGCAAGATGTAGGAATGTTACCTGCCATTATGATACCAAAGACACATATATGGTTTTAAGAAAGCATCTATGTAAAACGATGACTTCTAATGGGTATAAGTCAGTCTAAATCCATGCTTTGTTCAACTATAACTATATGATACCACAGACATAATCATGTTGTAAAATGACTTACCTAACAACAACTAAGGCCGAGCCATTGGATCTAATGTCTAACAAATATGTTATAAACGCTCGCACTCTTTCTGATCCTTCGTTCTCTAACTCTGGTAACTCCGTCTGAAATGTTTATTTTGTTTATAATATATAAAATTATGAAAACATACAGTTCAGGCAATTAAAAAATTATTATTGCTATAACTGTTATATTACATCAAACAAGGCATGAAATAGGTTAAATTTTCTTCCTTAATAAATCTTAACATTGTCAAACATAGATTTTTTTTTCGGTAAAAAATTAAAATATCAAATAATATATTCTCGGTTAAACAAGGTTTTGGCAGTAACAATAGTATCAGATCAAATATTACTTGTTGTTACTAAGATTATGTAAAACTGTCTCTGAATAGTTTATATTGCCACTTTCCAGCACTAGTGGTGGAAGTAGACCTCAGCTGCCCTTAACATGTGTTATTTCAGGTATGAAAATGGCAACTGTGTAAAACCACCCAAATTCCTTGTTTTCACAAAAGATAGAATCCAAAATCCAAGTTGAGATACAAAACCAATAGAGTTACAGGCAAATAATTTTAAGTCAACAACTTTCTATAATCACCCCTCCTCAGAGGGCCCTGTATTATCATTAAAACAAACACTTACTATTCCACCTTCTTGTATAGAAGCAAAGTTTGGCCTGTCAAATACATCCTGACAGAATTGTGGATTTACAGCACTACCTAGATACAGGTATATAGTGTCTCCAGTGTCTAGAAGATATGCCCCATTACGATCTACATTAGCTGATGACAGCTGTAGTAAAGGTAACTTCGGATACTCAAGGCTTCCTTTCTTTACCATATCCTGAAATACATAAATTAACTCAATTATATTGAATATCTTACGTACCCTCTTTACAATTTTTATGAGTTGATCCAGAAATGAAACCTAAGAGTTGTTGTCAGACTGTATAACAACTGGATCACATGGACAACTGACTTTATATATAAAAATAATTTGTGGTTAATCATTATTAATTTAGAAAGCTTTAAAAAATATAACAAAATAGAACTGGTGATAAAAACCTTTTCAACTAATAAATAACATTGTCTCTCCAGAAAATTTTTAACTTTTTGATTTCCTTTAATAGCTTAAAGGTTACTGGAAAACAAGCTCTTTTGGGAATGAAGTTGACTGGGGCACTAGGGGACTAGAGAGAAGGAAATAAATCTGAGAACCTGGGATACAAAACATTGGGATATGAAATTAAAGGTACTTAGATACAAGTCACACTGAAACAAAATTAAAAGAGACTTGGGGAAACGCATAAGAACATAAAACTTACCACATCCATGATTGTATGTATAGGATACAAGTCTGGGTATAACAATCTGATGAGTTCTGCTACTGGCAGTGTTTTACACTGGTTTAGAGCAAATGTTCTGTCATCTAGTCTTGTAGATACTCCTGTCCTAAATGCCGTCTAAAAAACACAAGTTTAAGTTCTATTAAAATTTCAAAAAATTTATATTATTGTATTTAATCATATATATTCTTTTGTTCATATTTGATGCGAGTTTTTACAAAAAGTGTTTCTATTCTTTAATGCAAATGAATTATTTATAAAAAACATTGACAACATTAATTTTCCTAACAAAATATTTAACCACTATTTTAGACCACTTTGTCAGGAATAATTAATTTAAGTTTTGAACCAAGGGTTGAGAATCAGTAACTTAAACCACTCAGCCAAGCAAAGCCTCTTTTTCAGTAAAAGCTGGACAGTTGCAGCATAACCATAACTGTGTCAGTAAAACTTAATACGATGATATTTTGTTTAAATTGTTAACTTACAGATTTGAGCAGTGACAGACAGTACAATGGTATAAGTTTAAGTTGATCACTGGCACAAAGACCACCTGCTCTCTGGGACCCTGCTAGAGTACTGCCATAAGAATTCAATATATCAATAGCAGCATTAACAATGGCCTCCCTAGCATCTGACATAGATGATGAAATACTGCGATCCACCGCTGAAAATATATAAACAATTAAATTACAAAACTAAACCTTTTAAAGCAGAATACCTCTGGAAGATACCAGTATGTCTTTCATTGTACTAATATTTCAAAATCTTTTTCAAATACATTAAATGGTCGAAAGAAATTAAAAAATCCCTTTGAAATATTCATACTGTGACATTTTCACTGCTTTTCAACAATTGCGATATACTTTGTTTTTGTTATACTAAGGCATTTTTTATCCAATACCAAAGATTTAAAAGTAGTCTCTGTGACTTTATCAGACAGTTTTAACAGTAGTATATTCTACAGGTTCGACAGTAGTCTTTCACAAACATGTAGTAAACTTACCCATTTTTGCCAGTAAAGCTATAATAGCTTGTTGGTCAGCCCCCGCATGTATTTCACTAATCTGATTCGTGACTGGCAAACATAACGTGTGAACTCGAATACGTCTTTCACCTGAAAACAAAAATCATTTTGTAATGACAAAAACTTTAATAAAAAAAATTGAAATTTAAGTCTTTCAAATCCAGCTGGACCAGCAAGCACAGGGAACAAATCTGAACTAGCTCATGACTGTTAACAATTTCAAAAATTTTCATTACAGCATCCCTTAAACTGATAATGGACTGTTCCAAAACCAAAGCTAGGCATTTATATATCAGAAATAGGGTGATATCAACCGAAGCATTTTGACAATTTATCATCACATTTGTAGATCATTAGTACTTTATTCATAAACATTACAGTGTTGCATATAAATATATATCTTAATTCTAGAGTAAACATTGATCACAGTACCTGATTTTTCGGCCAAATTATAATTATAAGAAATAAGTTTCAATAATTTATTTTACTGGTATTGACTGTTGAATCTTTATTTCAAAAAGTACATGGCCATCAAATTTGAAGTGAATGATTTAGGACAATACCATCTAGGACAATCTGCCATGTTTATAGGTGGAGCAATATATGCAAATTTTGTTCAAATTATCATGGCATCGTCAATGATACAGTAACCATAAGGACAACTATATATACAGTCAGTACTTACCTTTACTAGAAGTATATAATAACGCAGCCTGGAAACACATTGTTGACATATCAGTCAGTGGTTCTTCTATAGACATTTGCATACCAAAACCTGCATCAGGGTTCACATTTGGCAGTGACAACAAGTCTGTGGATCTCACAAAGAAATTACCGTGAAATGTGTGAATACTTATTCCTGGAAAAGAGAAAATAAATTGACTATCAAATACATGACTACAAAAATTGATTAACCATTTTCTTTGTTAGCTTATCAGTCACATTACCTAATAGATTTTGTTCATAGAAGTACATAAAAAGCAATTTTTTTTTTCAACAACACCCCCTTCCTTCAACAACTAAAAACAAGATTGCATTTGAGAAAAATGCTATGCCACCGCATTAATATAATACTAAATAGTAGTGTAGGAACAAATTTTTTTTTTGTTTCTATACAATTTTGAAGATTGTCATAATGCATAGATCCCTGACCTTATAAATAATCTAATTCTTATTATCAGATTAGTGGTTAAATCTGTTGTTAACTCAATAAAAGATCCGAGTAGGAATATATCAATGCACGCAAGTCTAGTGAATTTGGTGGTGAAGGTCATATTTCACACAGCCTAAATTTCATGACTACATCAAAGGACAACACAGTAAGACACTTTATCAAAATCTAGGTCAGCTGAAATCAAAGTTCACTTTACATCTAAATATGTGCACATGGTTCAAATTTCATAGCTGTACATCAAAGGACAAGAAAGAAGGTCACATCATCAAAATCTAGGTCACCTGATATCAAAGTTCAATTTTACAACTTAAACTGTGCACATGGTCAAAATTTCATTGCTGTACATCAAAGGACAAGAAAGTAGGTTGGACAAGGCAAAATTTATATACATATAAGGAAAACCTATGGCCCCCAGGGCGGGGCTAATTTTGACACTAGAGACAAAATTTGAACAACTTTGGTAGAGTACCTATAGATGATATCATTTAACAAATATTAAAGCTCTAAGCCTTGTACCTTCAGATAATAAGATTTTTTGATTTTTTTTACTATTATGTATATATTGAAAATCAATGACCCCCGGGGCGCGGGCAATTTTGACCCCAGGGCTATAATTTGAACAATCTTGCTAGAAGTTCACTTCTCAATGTTTCATGCAAAATATCTAACCTTTAGCATTTGTCAATTGCTAGAAGAAATTTTTTTAAAGTTTTACTATAAGTTTTTACTGTATACATATAAGGAAAACCAATGACCCCCTGGGCGGGGCAGATTTTGACCCCAGGGCTATAATTTGAACAATCTGGGTAGAGGTCTACCAAACAATGTTTTATGCAAAATATCTAAGCTTTAGGCCTTTTGGGTCTTTACAAGAAGGTATTTTAAGTTTTTACTATATCTACATATAGTGAAAATCAATGACCCCCGGGGCAGGCTGATTTTGACCCCCAGGTCTATAATTTGAATAATCTTGCTAGAAGTTCACTTCTCAATGTTTCATGCAAAATATCAAACCCTTAGCATTTGTCAATTGCTAGAAGAAATTTTTTTAAAGTTTTACTATAAGTTTTTACTGTATACATATAAGGAAAACCAATGACCCCCAGGGCGGGGCAGATTTTGACCCAAGGGCTATAATTTGAACAATCTGGGTAGAGGTCTACCAAACAATGCCTTATGCAAAATATCTAAGCTTTAGGCCTTTTGGGTCTTTACAAGAAGGTATTTTAAGTTTTTACTATATCTACATATATTGAAAATCAATGACCCCCGGGGCAGGCTGATTTTGACCCCCAGGTCTATAATTTGAACAATCTTGGCAAGTGTCTACCAGACAATGCCTCATGCAAAATATCTAAGCTCTAGGCCTTTTGGTTTTTTACAAGAAGGTAATTTAAGTTTTTACTATATGAACATATAGTGAAAATCAATGACCCCCGGGGCGGGGCCGATTTTGACCCCAGGGCTATAATTTGAACAATCTTGGTAGAGGTCTACCAGACAATGCCTTATGCAAAATATCTAAGCTCTACGCCTTTTGGGTCTTTACAAGAAGATTTTTCAAATTTATTCTTATAATTCCTTTTGGTTGCCATGGCAACCAGATTTCTGCATGGAATGAAATTCTTTGAACAACTTTGGAAGCCCTTCACCCAAGGATCAATCCTGCCAATTTTGGTTGAAATTGGACTAGTGGTTTTTCGCAAGAAGATTTTTTAAGTTCACTATATAATCTATATAACACACACACACACAAACAAACACACACACACACACACACAGGTGAATCGCTATATGCCACCGCATCGCAGATGCTGCGGTGGCATAAAAACCCCCAAAGACATTCTCATAAAACCTACTTTAAAGTTGATATACATATCTTTTTCATTCATTACTTTTTTGCAATATTTATTATCTATTGGGCTTGACACCAAAACACTATAGGTCATATGGTGACTTTCCAGCTTTACTGGTGGAGGAAGATCTCAGAAGCCAATCTGTGCTTATTTCAGACACAAACGTCCACGTGAGTGGAACAACTGACATTCTGTAAGCTAGCTGGGTAGCTTTCTCAAAAGAAAGAATCCAAAGAGGCTTGTGTGGCTTGAACCTACAGCAGTGAGAGGCAAGTAGATAGAAGTCAGATAGACCTTAGACAGCTGGGCAAGTCCACTACACATATTCAGCAAAGTTAGGGTCTGTGTATATGTTAAAAAAATCACCAACCTTTTGAGCATCTAATTCTCATCACAGATTCGAACCCTATCTTTCTCGTCATGTAACGTCGGAGATCCGTCTCAAACTTCTCAGCTAGATGTGGAGAACGTACAGCATGGTATGAAGGGTAATATGACACACAACCTCCCGAAAACTTTGATATACATTCTGTAATAAAATCAGGGAAAATTCTCACTATTTTTGTTAAAGAATGCATAAATTATAATCAATTCCATGAAAGAAAATATCAAGAAATGATAGTAGATTTTAAGTTCTTATGCAACAACAATAAGTTTGATAAGAGTTTTAAGAAAAGACCACCAATTGATTACAACATCTACTGATAAATCAATTTACCATCCTTTTTTAACCATACAATAATTCTTCTTACATTAAAACTTCTATACATCAAATTTATCCACGTTGTATTCTCTCAAAATATTGGATTACAAAATCAATAGTCCAGAGGTGATTTTTTCTTCTTTTATGTCTTTCTTATAAGCCACAGTGACGCCGTAAAGTTGATTTGCAGACTTTCCAGTTTTATTAGATTAATAAGAACTCTCCTCATGATATTTCAGACACAACTGAGTAGAACTACCAACCTTTCTCTCAAGTTAGTGGATAGCTTTCTCACTTGAAGAACTAAAACATAATGGCCAAGAAATTGTCATTAATTTGCTAGGCCCCATCAAGATTCAAGAATTGGTTTTAATTACAAGGAAATAAGCAAATAAATGCTTCCAATGTTATTTATCGCAATTTTGCATATAAATATATTCAATGTGAACAAATAAGAAAGCTAAGCTACAATATCTAAAACAAAATCTTACCTATAGATGCAATATCAGCATATTGTCCATTAAACATATAGAGATCTACAGCTATTTGCTGTGCCGAACAATCTAATGCCAACTTCTTGTAAAAATCTGTTGCTGGACCAAGACTTGAAATGTCCTGTAAAACAAGTATGCAAGACTTCAGATACAGTATAAATTTACGAGATGGCATTTCTTTATCTCAAACAAAATAACAAGTTATTTCAATACAGTTGCTCTCTGACTTGTAGCAAAAGAACATAATATAGGAATACAAGAGCTGTTGGTAGAACAGCATGCTCAACTATTCTCAATGCTTGACAGTAGTAAAACAAGAGCCTGGATAATGTAAACTTTTTAAGTTTAAAAAGGCCCATGATTCTGTCAAAATCGATGCCAGAATTATGGACCTTGCACAGAAACCTCCTTTTATGCTCTCCAACCCTTTATCTTCAGTAGTTTTGGAGATTCCAATTTGCACTCAAAAACTTAAAATGTGACCCTGACACGACACTACAATAGCTTTCCCAATTCTTAGAATAGTTGAGATGATGAATTGAAAGCTCTTCTCGACTTTTTTAAGCTGCTAAAATCTAATGATAAAGACCATGTTTAATCTAAATGAAACTAAGGAATTAGCAATGACAAGCACTGTAATCTAACCTTGGATGTTTTCTGTGTAGAATCTTCCCTATTTTGTAGAGCACCAGGACCATAGGTTGGTAAAACAGTCTGCATGACAGTCACTCGCCCACCAGTTGATGTCTATAATAACATACACAAGTTTCAAAATATATTTTCTTCTTACTTTCAACTTCATGCTATTTTGAACACAAAATGAAGTTGAAAAATAAATTTCCTTTGCATTAACAACTCAGTGAATTCTTCTTGAAGGTAATAAATCATAAAGTCAAGGAAAAGTTATATCCTCTTATAAGCCCTATACTCTCCTTTAAAAAGCCATTTTCCATAACCCTGCAGAATTTGTGATGTAGATATGGCCAGTTTGAATTAAGAACAATTTATTTACGAGCTTTTCCACCTGTTTTAAAATCATAACAATGTCTTTCGATTTAAAGGGATTTCGAAAGTGGTGTAAAGAACCTTGGAACTGTCTTTTATATATATATATAATATAAAGTAGCCAACAGTATAGAGTCTGGTCAGATGGCATGGAAATTTAGACTGGCCTGTGGCTATGCTGGTGACACTGTTTTGTTTCTATTGCTCATAGTACCCAAACAATTAATGAAAAGATGCAAATTAATAAAGTGGGAACTATAAATGGTAATGTAAACTGACCGTCATTTTGAAAGCAGCTTGTAAAGCGGCACCAAGGGCACTTCTGGTTTCCATATTGTTCTCAAATAATGTTGGTAGCTGATTTAACAGATCATTTACCAAATTTTTACACTCATTTAAGTTGACTAGCAAATTATCTGGACACGGTAAGAAAATATCTGAAATATAAGACATAACATACGAAAATATAATAAAATCAATTATTATTATTTAATTCTTATCATGCTAAATTTCTTTAATAAACTTGTCCAACTTCAATTTTTAAACCTGTCAATTAATAATCTATAAGATATCAAAAATGAAAATTAAAAGTTTGTCAGCCAATAGTGTAGAGCCTGGTAAATCTGCACAGATGTGCATGTTGACCTTACCCTCTATATGTCTTACATGTCAGTGTCCGGATATTGATTCAGAAGTCTCTGTTGAGATTTGAAAACACAGTGGTAAGGGGCATGTGATTTCTTTAAGACAGCAGCAATAACAACTTGGTCAAAGAGGCCTCCCTATACAAGTTCACAGCCTTAAGACTTAAGTTCAAGTATGATTTATTTCTTCATTTCTATTGTAACAAACATATTTTTATTTTAGTTAATCAAGATATTATCAAAGTTTTGGCAGAGATGCAAATTTCAAAACATTGGAGTATCTTCAACAACTTTAAACAATGCATCTATTGCCTTTAAAATTTCTTTAGACAAAACAAGAATTAGTAGAGTAAATATATACTGACCATCTACATCAGTTACAGTGAGCATCTGAGGCTGTGACAGTCCCTCCGCCAGGTTAAAGAAATGTACTGAACTATCATAAGCTATGAAACCAATCTGTGTCCGAGAATCACCAGGTATCCGGTCCAAAACATCCATTAACGTCTCACAGAAAGTTGTCAAATAACCTGAAACAAGAGATCTTTAGTTGAAGAAATAGAGGATATTGAATGAGTCTAATTTAATACAAAATTTATGGAACGAAATGAATAAAATCATATTATGCGAGCCTCTGGCGAGCATTATATTTTTTCATTCAAGTTCAATAAATTTAGTATTGAATCTACAAGAATATAATATTCTATTTACCAAATATATAAAAAAGAACAGTAAACTATAAAAATGAGTAATTTTTCAATGACACACCTATAGCGTAACGCTAACATAAGCGCGTTTTAACGCTATGTTCCTACATAGCGCAAATGACGTCACGTCAAAGTGTTATTACACTAGTGTAATATCGTTTTTATTAAATGGCTTTATCACACTCCCGTGCCACGGTTTATGTGATAAGTGGTTTTATTACAAGGATAACACAATATCATATTTGATTATTTTACATCAAACTTATTAGGACACATGTGCAAAACAGAACAAATAATTTAAATGCATGCTTAAAGGCCCGTCAAATTTTTGAAGCAAGCGGTTTACATATCTATCAACCTTTGACCTTTTTGCTTGCAAAGAATTGAAGATGCCATGTTTGTTGACAATGAACTCCTTTGATTGTAGTCATACAATAAGGGTTACAATGCTGCCACACAATAATGGTGTACCATTAAAACTATTACACACAAAATGCTGAAATAAGTTACCTGTTTCTATGGCATTGAAAGACACATCTAACAAGTAAATGTACACAGCTGGTTGTGGCGGCCGTAACTGAATTACATTGAAACAAGAATGTGTGAAATATTTTATAAAATAATTCATTACCTTTTCATATCAGTACATCAAAGCTATATTAGCTGAATCATAATCAAAATATAATGTTTGTAAATTTCTAATAAGCTGTTGGTGCATGCATGTAATCAAACCTTATAGCAAAAGCAGTTGAATTATTTGTAAGAAACATTATGTTAGTCTTTTTCTTATATATTTCAAGTGCCTTATTTAACAGCAACACTACATTTTTTCACTATGTCTCTCTGCAATTTCAACTGAAGTACAAACTCAACAAAATCAGACACAACTGTTGACTGAATAAGACGTTCAAGACATTGAAAAAAAAAATAATACAGTAAAAAATAAATCCACTGATAATTACCATGTATTCTGATGGTGCTATAAACTCTATAGTTGCTGACTTGATTTCTGGCCTCCTCTGAGGGTCACCATAACTTTTACTGACTGGGTCAAACGAAAACTCATCTGGCACTGAAAATATATGTTCATTTATAAATTTCTGTTGACAATTTTTAAAACTGACTGTCAATTAAAGCTTACATGAACAAGGGATACTTTGTAACTTAAGAATACATAAGTAAAACAGTTATTTTAAACTTGGTAATCATTGGGGGAAATTGGCTTAAGTTAAGTTCAAACCAAGATGATTAAAATTATGTAGCTTTTTTTCTAGTTTAGTTGCTTTTCTCGTCAATTTATTGATCAAATTTGCATAATACACATGTCAAGTACTTAAAACAGTCAATCAATTTGACTTTTTAATGAAGACCACTATTGAAGTAATATAGGTGAAGCTACAACAGTATGTCATCAAACTGCTGGGATGTGCAGACTAACAAGGCTCAATATTGGTGAGATAGGTCTGTTTTTCATCACCGAAAGTATTCACACATCTTACAAGTATACCAATACTTACATTCATTGACTCTATAACACAGATTACATTTCCATCTTCTACTGTCGACAAAGTAAACAAATGGATTGATGTACGTCCTACATGATCGACACCTCACTATAACACTAGACTGTATCACAGGTAGTTGCTGCAACAAAATCACAATAAATCATAAACATGCATAACCAGCCAATCTTCATAAAATATAAAAATGGTAGTTAAAATATTGGTTTTAAACAAGATAAACTATTTAAAACTTTACTATCCAGCAACTGTTTTATTTATTTTTATAATATTATCCTAAGTAGGTATGTAAGTGTGTCAAACATGTAGTCCTTGGAACAAGTAAAATTTAGTTATATCCAATTAATCAAAAAATAAATAAATAAATTATATAAATTTTAAAAGTAAACCAAGTGAGATAATTTGGAGGAACAAGAGTGCAATATTTGAAACAATTGGAACTTGTATAACTCATTAAATTAGATGGGGTAATTATACTAATTTGAAAATATACAAAGGGAATATAACTTGGGCAAAATGAATGCCAAAGAAGTCAACCCCTTGGCCTTTGTAAGCAAGTTTTTATATATAAGTTTGTAAAAAATTAAAATATTTAGTGTATCTAGAGCTTAATTTTATATTAAGTTTAAAAGTTTGTAAAAATTACATGTTAAGTATATCAAACTAAACCAGCTGGAATAAATTAAAACAAGAGGGCCATGATGGCCCTAGATCGCTCACCTGACCCATCAAACTCATCCAAACAATTACCTAGACAAGCATTCTGACCAAGTCTCATGACAGGTGAGTCAAAAATATGACCACTACAGTGTTAACAAGGATTATCCATATTTGAGCAGTGTGACCTAGTTTTTTACCCAGGTGACCCATATTCAAACTTGACCTAGAAATCATCAAAACAAACTTTCAGACCAATTTCCAGGATACTTGGATCAAAACAGTAGCAACTAGAGTGTTAACAAGATTTTTCTATTTTTAGCTCCGGTGACCTTCTTTCACATGCCATTTCGAAATCATCCGAGCAATTACCTAGACAAGCATCCTGACCAAGTTTGATGATAATTGAGTCGAAAATGTGACCACTAGAATGTTAACAAGGTTTTTCCATATTTGGGCGGTGTTACCTAGTTTTTCATCCAAGATGACCCATGTTCGAACTTGACTTAGAAATCATCAAAACAAACTTTCAGACCAATTTACAGGATATTTGGATCAAAACAGTAGCCACTAGAGTGTTAACAAGGTTTTTCTATTTTTAGCTCCTGTGACCTAGTTTTTCATCCGAGATGACCAATGTTGGAACTCATCCAAGCTATCAACTAGACAAACATCCTGACCAAGTTTGATGATGATCGAGGCAAAATTGTGACCGCTAGAGAGTTAACAAGGTTTTTCTATTTTTAGCTCTTGTGACCTAGTTTTTCATCCGAGACAACCCATGTTCGAACTCATCCGAGCTATCAACTAGATAAGCATCCTGACCAAGTTTGATGATGATTGAGGCAAAAATGTGACCGCTGGAGTGTTAACAAGGTTTTTCTATTTTTAGCTCCGGTCACCTTCTTTTTCATCTGAGATTACCCATGTTCGAACTCATGCAAGCTATCACCTAGACAAGCATCCTGACCAAGTTTGATGATGATTGAGGCAAAAATGTGACCGCTAGTGTGTTAACAAAGTTTTTCTATTTTTAGCTCCGGTGACCTACTTTTTCATCCGAGATGACCCATGTTCGAACTCATCTGAGCTATCACCTAGACAAACATCCTGACCAAGTTTGATGATGATTGAGGCAAAATTGTGACCTCTAGAGTGTTACAAGGTTTTTCTATTTTTAGCTCTTGTGACCTAGTTTTTCATCCGAGATGACCCATGTTCGAACTCATCCAAGCTATCACCTAGACAAGCATCCTGACCAAGTTTGATGATGATTGATGCAAAAATGTGACCGCTAGAGTGTTAACAAGGTTTTCTATTTTTAGCTCCGGTGACCTACTTTTTCATCCGAGATGACCCATGTTCGAACTCATCCGAGCTATCAACTAGACAAACATCCTGACCAAGTTTGATGATGATTGAGGCAAAAATGTGACCTCTAGAGTGTTAACAAGGTTTTTCTATTTTTAGCTCTTGTGACCTAGTTTTTCATCCGAGATGATCCATGTTCGAACTCATCCGAGCTATCAACTAGATAAGCATCCTGACCAAGTTTGATGATGATTGAGGCAAAAATGCTACCGCTAGAGTGTTAACAACAAAATGTGAACGGACGGACGACGGACAATCATCGATCCTAAAAGCTCACCCTGAGCATACTCAGGTGAGCTAAAAACCAAGTTTGAAAGAGTATAAAGGGAAGATAACTTGGGAGAAATGGATGTAAGTTATATAATTTGACAGGATTGTATCTTTTACCCTGGTAAGTAACTATTTACAGTAAGCCAATGGTACAATATAAACTTAAGAAAAATTCCATTGTTTGATTTAGCAATTTATATTTTTGCCCATTAAATGTATCGTTTACTTATGATAATAATTATCCATTTATTGTGTATTGAGACATAAAAACCATAATGATCAAGAGGTACAGAGAGTTAGAAAAAGGATCAGGGTGTTGAAAAGAACCCATTTTTTTTTTAAAACAACTGTGTTAAACATCTAATCCATTATTCTAACACTCCGAGACAATTCAAAATGTATAATTCCTTATTCTTATTGGATATATTGTATTGGTAGTATAACCAAATAGCCTATCATATTTTTACTACAGGTTATCAAATCTGACTAATTACGGCATACTCACAACTTGGTCTGCCACTGACAAACCCTATAAAGATTTATTAAAAGCCAGTGACTTAAAGGGAATTTAGGGTTAAGAAAAAAAATTCAAAGTCAAGTGTATTAATCTTCACAGAATTAACTTTATACAGACTCCCTTCACAGGAATATATATCAAATTTGTACAAAACCTTCATCAACATTTGACAAATCATTTGGTTTAATCACTTAAAGTCTTCCGCAGAAAGTATAATACAAGAAATGTTTTAACAGTTACTGGAAAGTTTGTATGAATAAGAGATTTTAAGAGATAAACTAATCCGAAATACATATGTACTTACGGACAAATCTTTAAACGGATGTATCAGAATACCGAGAGGCAGTCTGGACTTGTTTAACAATGCTGACGTCTGTGGTATGTTGTTCATTGTACATCGAAATACCCTGGAAGTAAAAAGGATATAAGAATTTTATACAGATTGTCAGTACAGATAGAGAAAACATGGTTGATGAGCTATATGGGATTTCAGTATCAAAATAAGTAACTCTTAGCTTTCAAAATAATAGTATGCCCAGACTTCATGGTTGTGAAAGTTCGCCTGACTTGTGGCATATCACTGCATGGTTTCAAACCCCGTCAGAGGCAGCTTATTGTTTCTTAAGCAAAATACTCAGTATTGGCTGCAAAGATTCGAGTGTGTTTTTAGGCTTATAGCCTACACAATTAAAACTGGAGAAATTCTGTATATACCTAATAATGCTGCTAGCACATGAAAGGGTTACAGATAGATAAAGAATAAAAGTAATACATGTAACATATTGAGATAAACAGTAAAAGAATCTTACTCAGGATTGCAGTTAACATTTCTGTTATCATTTGGTATTACTGGCTTTGGTGTTTCCACTCCATCAGGAGGTATCAACTTCTTCTGTTGTAATAAATTTATACTCTGTGTACCCTGAAATCATTCATTAATATATCTGTTTCCGTTCAATTTTGTAACAACAACATTAAAAGGTCATAAGATGATTTTCTAGCAAAACTGTTGGAGGAATAGCATTTGGTTGATTATTTCAGACATGAATGGGGACCCCAGAGTAGCACTATCATTCTCTTTAAACTGGCTGGACAGGATCTTAACTCTTAACTTTACATCACTACAACTAAACAAAGCCTAGTCAGTGCAGCAATGAAGTTATCTGTAAATACCGATTTACGAATTTGGTTGAAAAAAAAACAAAACCTCTACCATTTCAACTGGTTCACATGCTTTAAGTAATACTATGACGGTAAATGTTGCATAGGCCTCAATAAGCCTAATCTTCTGATTTTAATAGAATCCTATTACTCAAGCTGTATTTTGGATACAATGTTGTAGGTTAAAGCATGACCAACATATTTTCTGTACTGGTTTAAAATACCATACATGTTATTGATCTTGTACCAATACATCAGTAGAGAACATATTAACACGTATGATACATGTATTACATGAAGGAACATCTGTCACATAAACTTACAAGTAATCTCTCTTTTACATCAAATAAGAATCATATCAGATAATTGGATTATTAACTGTATTTTAAACCAATCCTAAATATATGTAGGTTAATATTGTTACCTGTAGAGATAAATTGTTGAAATTTGATGCCATGGCGCCAAAGCCCGCGTTTTGCTTTGGGTAAGAATTGACAAACTCTCCTACAGTTTTTCCGTGTGGAGCATACTGCTGACCTTGGCCTTGGTACTGATTAGTTGAATTTGGTTGTGGGGGAAATCCTGGCTGTTGACTGGCAGAATTTGGTTGTGGGGGAAATCCTGGCTGTTGACTGACAGAATTTGGTTGTGGGGGAAATCCTGGCTGTTGACTGGCAGAATTTGGTTGTGGTGGAAATCCTGGCTGTTGACTGACAGAATTTGGTTGTGGTGGAAATCCTGGTTGTGGATTGGTTGCATTTGGTTGTGGAGGAAATCCTGGCTGTTGAGTGGCTGTGGATGTGGGTGGTGGTGGAAATCTTTGTTGTTGATTGGCAGATGGTCCAAATCCTGGCACTTGATTGGTTATAGGTGGAGGTGGAGGAAATCCAGGAAGTTGATTAGCTGATGAAGCAGGAGTGAATCCTGGCATTTGATTGGTTGGAGGAGGAACTGGCGGAAACCCAGGCTGCTGACTGGCTACTGATGCAGGAGTGAAGCCTGGTACCTGATTGGATGAAGGAGGTGCCGGCGGAAATCTTGGCTGTTGATTGGCTGTGGAAGCCGGAGGGAATCCTGGTTGCATACCCATAGATGTTGGTGGAAATCCTGGTCTCTGACTTGGGGCTGACATAGGACGGAAACCAGGTTGTTGTTGACCAGCTGATACAGGAGGAAAACCTGGCCTCTGTGCTTGGGGAAATCTTGATCCCTGACTGACTGAGGGAGGAAATCCTGTACCTTGACTACTTACTGTAGGTGACATAAATCTTTGCTGTGAAGTGGGGGGCATGCCCTGTTGTGAAGTTGGGGGCACGCCTTGCTGTGAAGTTGGGGACATGCCAGGAAAACCAGATGTTGGGGGCATACCCTGCTGTGAAGTTGGAGGCATACCAGGAAAACTTGATGTCGGGGGCATTCCAGAAATACTTGATGTTGGGGGCATGCCTTGTGAAGTTGGGGGCACACCAGGAAAACTTGATGTTGGGGGTATGCCTGGTTGTGAAGTTGGTGGCATACCAGGAATGCTGGATGTTGGGGGCATGCCCTGTTGTGACATTGGGGGCATGCCTTGCTGTGAAGTTGGGGGCATACCAGGAAAACTTGATGTTGGTGGCATGCCTGGTTGTCTAAAAGCTGTGGATGAATTTGGTGGAGAATTCCATTGTTGCTGAGGATTACCTACTGGCTGTATCTCTTGTTCTACAAATTAAGAATAAAAATGTTTTTTGTACAAGTCTGTCACATATATTTTAAACTTTCAAGTATACTATATGTTTATGGGTATTTAGCATAATTATTTTTTATTTCTATAATTGAAACTATTCGATGTTTGGTACCATTTTTGTTAGGTTATTCAAATACATACAGAATGGTATAGCTTGTTATAGAATTTAAATTTAAAATGGCAGTTTATGTAGGGGGAATATTTTTCAATTTTGCTTGGTATTAAATGTCAAACTGTAAATTATGTTCATATGTTTGAACTTTCAACAGTCAGGCAATGCAATCAGTTCATAGCCTTAATCCAATAAATTTGTCTGGTAATTTCAAACAAAATTGCTTCTCATTCCAAAACATGGCTTTCAAAATTAAAATTTTGCCTTACTTCAAACAAATGGGGGGGGGGCTTACTCCATGATGTTTCACTGACAAATCAAAACAAAACTTTAAAATAATTTAGACATATTTACCAGGTGTTCCTCTGAACTGACCCTCAAGAGCGTCAAAGTTCTGGTTGATCACAGCTGGGGAATTTGTCCTTGATGACTTCTGGGAGGGTGGACCTGAAAAATGATTGACAGTCCATTAATAAATCATTATCCTTGCTCTTTTAACATTCACCCAACAATAAAGTATTAAATCATTTTGTCTAGCGTATTTATTTATACCTATTATAAAGGTAATCTATCAAGCAAAATATGTAGCCTTCATAATAGATCTGGTGAATAGGGAAAAAATGTTTTTAATATTAATCATACAAGGAAAATAGACAGAACATTTTGTAAATAAAGACTGTATCTGTATAACTCCTACACGTATTTTATATGCAATGAGAGTTTAATATTAATATTTCTTATTTTATCATGACCTTCAAAGCATCATCATCATCATCAACACTATCATCATAATCATTATCATCATCACTACTGTGCATTCTTTTCATATCTTGAAAAATAAATCCATTTCAAAAGCAGTTCTCAGTGATTGAAAAGGCATTGTAAATAATGCTTGCTCAAATATAGAGAGTGAAAACTACATTATAAGCAACCATTTATAAGCTAGTCAAATCTCCTTAACAACTATTCATCAAAATACCCAGAAGCCTGTATTAAACTTTGTTAAATCATATTCATATGATATACTTGATACAAGATGATTGATAAGGTAGAAAGCATGTTGTGTATGATAAAATTCATAAAACAAGAGTACAATATGTAATTTACATGACCACTTTTTCAATACATGTAAATTAGAAAAAGACAAAGAGTCTAGCTTTTAACATGCCTATTTAATAAACCATATCGCACAGAAAATTGTCTATGCTACAAATATAGCAAGGCCATCATAACCATCTTTGTAGTCGTGTAAACAGACTAAAGGCTACATACTTCAGCTGTTTATTTTCAGTACTTTAATATTAAAATCTCTTCAACTTACAATCTATAGTTCTTAATAAAAAGGTGGAAAAGTCCAGTGCACAATATTCAGTGGTGGATGGGTTGGAAGAAATACCCTCAGAATGTTAGTCAAGAGTAAAATAAAGTATATCTATCTGTGTGACTAAGCTTTACTGTAAAACGAGAAATATGTTAGTATTAAACTTAGCATATGGCTGAAAGTGTTCAGAGTACATACATGTACCATGATATATATGCTGATATACACTGACATACCATGATATATACGCTGATATACACTGACATCTGTTACCAAATCATTTCACAGTAAATACAAGACCATGTAATAAAGCTGTTGACATTGTATACGTGTAAATAATTATTACATTACATATATGTTATATTTAATATGAAACTGATTGTGCATACACTTGTTAACCCTATTCCCTGGCACATCTGTTCAAATTACACCTTTATACTTAAGCCATTAAAATTGAATCCACTAAAGTTCATGACAAGATCATTAAAATTCTGAAAATCAAAAGCAATGAAGACAAATTAAATATAGTGAACATCCAAAAAATCTGGAACTATTCAGGTAAGTTTTCTGTATATTCTGAGATAAGAGTTATGTATTACATTTCACTGGTAAATGATGTACTTCTGACAATTAAAATATGCTTGCATGCAGAATCCACTTAAATCATAATACATGTACAGTGTACACTGTTCTATTTCTTTTTTCAGGGGTATCATCAGACAAGAAAATTAATGTACAAATAAATCAAGGGATTCCTGTTGTAGAATACCTTTATAACAAGCCTTATAGTAACTTTGTGTTTCAATAAAAATAATTATTAGGAAACATAAAGATTTAATGATGTTAAAGCAACTCAGCCAGTGTTATTCCAGCATAGGGCATTTTTTCATACATTTAGAATGATTGTATTTTGCAGACAATACAAAATATGCAATCCCTGATTTATTACAGTGACTGTCACTCCTGCTCATTAATCATTATTGAATATTGTTTTCCTACTCAAAGTACTGTGTAATTATTACGGTTAAGTATTCCATAAAGTAATTAAAATAAACAACACCAACAACAACATTTAGTCAATATTGTAGTTCACAGCTGGATGAAAACACAAACATTAATTAAGCTTTCTAACTGTTGTTGAACAATATAAAATCAGTGTTTATATATGGCACTAGACATAAAATCAGAGAGAAATTCTGCCTTACATGAATGCCATGTCTGTGAATTCTTCAATGTATATATCAATTTATAAATTTTTATATAATTTATATCTTGTCTGACAGCTAAATCAATTCTTTCAAGAAAATACCCCAATTTGTATGTTTACTAAATGTTTTAAAAGTATGGTACATTTTTATTATTACAACATGTATTTTAAGCAAGGAGGGCTATATTTAGCAAAAATTAACCAAATACATGAAAAACAATATATATTCAAAATCAATTTAATACTTAATACGTAAAAATATTAGAATTAACTAAAAGCCTATATTCTAACATATATACAATTACTGTATGTTACTACAGTACTGGCCACGCGAAACCCGCAAAAGTCGCGTTATGCCGCGAGTGTAGTCTATGTCGCGACGGGACACTTCGCGGTAAAACATCGCCGCGTGCAAGTTCGCCGAATTTCGTGGCGGGTCACGAAAAATCGCCGCGATGAATCGCCGTAATTTACGGCGAATCTTCAGCAATAATTGTATTAGAAAGTACTACTTGGTCCTTAATTCCCGTGGTCTTTAATTTTGAAAACTTTAAAAAAATCTTGTAAACGTCTTGTATATTTATAAATATTTAGCATTTGAACATGTACAGCGTATACATTTTGTATATTAAAACAAAGCAATCAGGTGCTGGTGAAAATTAGTTAACAATAAAACGAGATAGAAATTACAAAAGGTAATTGGTACTACATCAAAGAACGCACGATAACAAATTGTCCAATTGTTATTTTGATAATAATACAAATGTAATTAAAATCCATTGTTTACTTTCGCACATATTCTATTTTTAGAACAATGCAAAGCGACATTTAGCACCGATTCACAGATGTAACTAATTATTACGTCTAATACGCTAATTATGATTGTTGAAAATTGTAAAAGTTTTATCACTTAAATTGACATTCTTTACCTTCAATTTCACGAGTAAAAAATGCCAGGTGCATGAGTAGGTGATGAGTAGCAAGATGCAAATCAGATTTTTTTTTATTCCCGCCAAATCAGCCAGGGCATTTGACCCAAAAAAATTCCCTCGAAAAAAAAATAAAAATCGGAGTTAAATCACACATTTAATATGTAAAGTAACGAGTGATCATTCATGAGGGCATTCTGTGCATAAAATTAGGGTGTTACTATTTAAAGTATTTACATAAATAGCGACCAACCAGGGAAGGATATTTTCCTTACGTCACGCAGTACTGCATGCGCGCGGCAATTAAGTTGAATTAACTAATAATAGCACGTATCAAATTAAGGTGTGGAAACGGGATTAAATTTTTTTTTTCAAATTAATGAATATTTGTAAAGCATTTATATGGTCACTAGTTTACCATGTGGTAATTTTAATGTGCTTTGGGGTACATGTTCGTTTGTTTATGACTGACGACACTGATTAAATACTATAAGCCCATGCAATAAAACATTTCTGGTAGAAGCGTGGTCATAAAATTGACCGAAAAAAATATCCTTTCATATGCATTATTGTTTTGATAGCAGACACAAGTATTGCACAATATCTTCAAGATCATTAAAATGTAAATAAAATATCACAATCAAAATGCACTTACGATTAATAATATGTCAATAATTGACACAATCAATATCCAACATTTTTTTTACTTGAGCAATAATTAAACACGTGTAATCATTCCTTGACAAAAAGAAATGACAGTTTTTTTCTGATATATAAAAAAGAGGTGAAAGTCAATCGAGTGTCGGCATTTCTTTGATGATTCGGCAACAACTACAGGTGTGTAAACATCAAAGATTCACAGATTCTTCAGAAGAGCCGACCAGTCATTTGTCAGAGGTCATTTCGTGTGTAAATTTTGTATTCATTTATTTAACAATGGAAACATTATATTCCTTTTATTTATGGATGCTTCTTTTTTGCGCGAGTGTTTTTGTGTCTTTTAGCGCTATGGAATTTCAACAATCGGCGATAATTTTCGGTAACTAACAATTAAATATTTTAACATTTTTAAAACAGGGGTGCAAATATCCGCCATTCAGAAATTATAGCAGACAAATCTTGCGTGTGTTATTTTTTACAAACGTGTAATAAATTGAGTAATGATCACCCGAGAGAACGAAATGTCCCGGTGATCCACTACATTTAGAAATGAACAAGTTAATGTCGTATCAATTATGCATCTTTTTATGTAACTAAATATCTTTTTACACATATATTATATTTATATCTCTACTTTAAACTCAATATGTACCCCCCCCCCCTAAAAATAGTTTTACACGTGTACATGCACACTATTTACCTGCAGATGGAGCCGCATACTTGTACTGCGTCGCATTTATACATTGAGGTCATGATTCCGCCATTCACGGAAAGTTTTTAACGGTGTTATTTGATTTCGCCGTGGTTATTTATATTTGCTGTTGGCATCCAAAGATAAATAGAGAAAGGGCATTTTAGCAAATTACAAGATTTTCTTGATACAACTTCATGTAGATCTACTAATTAATTTTCGTACTTGTACATGTATATCTGGTTTCAAGTTCACAGACTACACTTATAAATAGATCTACATTTATTATATAAATGAACATGTATTATTTCCCCGCGAATCGCGGCAAATGTTCACGGCAAAATCGCCGCGAGTTGAATTCGCGGCGATTGTCTCAAGTTGCCGCGAATTCGCTCGCGTTATAAAGCATGAGAGTTCGCCGCGAATACGCGAATTGTGCGGGTTTCGCGTGTCCAGTACTGTAATACAAGCAAGGGAAACAATGTTCTATCTATGCTGTAGGGGTGTCTTCAAGTATATAGCCTCATCTAATAGTAGTCCTATCTCTATCTATTTGTATCCTTAATTACACAAACAAGCAAAACAAAATATCACCACAATGAAAACAAGCTTGGCATAATAATTAATAGTACTTTCTTTCCTGAGACATAAGGATCACGAAAGTGGCTCCCCCCACCCCAAAAGTACTATATTTGCTTTTGACACAAGTTTCCAGGATAATTAAACCAAAATCATATGTCTAGAGTGAAAAGAAAATTTCTATAAAGAAGATTATTCTGAATCAGAATGTCACCTTTTCATTGTTATTATTATTATGTAGCAATTTGAATCAATTAACATACTATCTGTCTGCTCACATTAGACAATGAAAATAGTTCAGTAGATGTGTTGATTACAGATACTTGTATAACACGAAATCTGCATCTAGACACAAACATTAAAATTACAGTATTATTTCAGTCACTCTGAAAAATTTCATCATGAATGTCAAGGTATGTCATTTTGTGCCATGGTTTTAAGGTTTTAGCTTATAAAATGGAATATACAATGTAGAATAAAATGTTACATCTCTATAAATGTTGAAATAGTCAGCAATGAAACACTTATGCATTATTTTAAAACATATCAATTGATAATTTATTGTCGAAAATAGCAGACAGTAAAATATGTGGTGGCCAGCACTTTTGCCGGCCACTTGTGCTTAGGGAGTACTTTTGTAGATGTCCTCATTACATATCTCTTTTTAGTCCCTGAAAATATTTAAATATCATCTCTTATGTCCCTTGAAAGAAACTAAAGATTTTGTTACCCAAGAAAGCAAACAGTGTAACATGCTATTTAAGGCAATTTAAGTAAAAGTTAAAGCCATAGAATAGCATAACAGCACAACACCAGAGCAAATCAAGTTTCTGTGAGAAATAAAAAGACAGTACATGTGGTATAATTATGCCAATCAAACCTGAGTTTGAAGGAGTAATCCCTGGCGTTAGAGCCATGCCGACTTGGTGCGAGTACTGACCATGCCCGTGAAATGGTACAGGGAGCTCATTTGGGCGATCTGCTAAAACCAGTTAATGTTTAAATACCTTCCATTTTAAAATGTTTTACAATTTTAATTCTTATTTGTTTATATATATATTTCATAACTAGCCTTGCCTTTCGGTAGAATCACCAACCTTCCGAAAGACTCAAACCAGAAATGTTACAGGTAAATGATTGGAACTTCGCAACTTTAGAAGAACCTACATATATTTAATAGATTTCTCTTTCACATACAAAAAAAGTGTTGTTAACTGATTCCATTTAAGCAGAGTTTTGATAAAATGATAATAAAGAAAGTATTAAATGTGACAATGAAAATTGTACATCAGAAAAATTAATCATACAAAATGTATGTTACAGTATTACTAGTAGTCTGTTAAAATCAAAATACAATGTTAGATTTATGGTTTGTTTTAGAATATTAACATTCATCAATATGCGAGAAAAATGTTCCAGTAAATATAATGATATTTATAATCTAAAATAATATAATTTTGTTAAGAGTTTGATACTTCATGCAAATAAACCAATACCAATTTCATAATACACCTGTGCACTTAAGTTACATGTATCTTGAATTATATAATAGTACATAAATTTACAATTATAGTATGGAAATATCAAAATATATACCTTTGTATTATTCTTAAGTAATTAAAGATGTTACAAATTTTTTTTGTTCATATAGATGTAAACAGTAATGTATTTCGATAACATGATACATTTAAATTACATTATCATTTCAAAAGGAGACTGAAAACACAGGAATATTCACTTAAATATTAACCAAGATGTTTCCACTTAATCATTATTTTAACCAAGTAGAAATACTGTTACTTCTTAACCATATTAATTCATCACCATTCTATAGATCAAATTTGCTCAAGAAAAAAAACTATCACAGACAAAATGCTAACAACACTTTGTTAAAATTATATCTTGCATATCATGCAATTAAAGTTGTGTAAAATAATAGAAGTACCAAATTTAAAGCGTAAAGCACAATGCAAAAAACAAAAACATTTCAGTATTAGCAAAATTAATAATAAAATCAAATACAAACCTTGAGATTGTGCCACATCTGAAAATGGTGGTCTGGTCAAACCCGACTGTGACGCTGGTGTGGGAAAGGTAGGCAATCCTGAAGCTCCTCCCGCTTGTGGAGGTCGGAATGCACTTTGACTTGATGGCGGTGCCCCTGTGAAAGGCCTTACATTTGGTAGTGGACCTCCTGGTCTAATTTGTCCACTTGGCCCTGGGAATCCTTGTCTAGGTTGATTGAACTGAGGTCCTTGAAATGGTGGACCTTGATTAGGTCCATTTATTGCAGGACCACCAGGTAATGGTGGTCTTACACCTGAAAACTGACCATTTTGTTGCATATTTCCTTGTGACATTGGTGGTGTTGACACACCATTTACACTGGATGGTGGCCTGAAAAAAGGCTGCCCTTGTTGTTCTGAATATGGAGCAGGTCCATTCATTGTCTGTCCTGCCTTCAACTGCATGTTATCTCCCAAAGGAGGCCTTGGTCCTCCAAATGGAACACCTGCAATAATACAGAGACAAAGGATATGTTACGTAAATGCTATACATGTATATACAAAAATATTAACACTCATATACAGAGACTAAACAATATATTTCATTGTAAATACTGTGAGGAATAGGTGCTTTTCCTAAACTAATCATTAAATAATATAATGTTGTTAAATAATAATTCAAGTAATTTCCAAGTGTCCATAACTCCTGGTTCAAATGAATTTGGCTAAGAAGCAAAGGCAGACAAATGACACAGAAATATATATAATAAGTTAATAATAATAAGAAGAACATTTCAAACACTGGAAGATATATCTTGTGAAGGACCAAAATAAAAAATTACCAGTTTTAGTAATATAAAATTCACATAAAATTTAAGAATCAGGCCATTCAGGGTCAATATCCAAGTCATCTTGACCTTATACAAATTTGGCACGGTCAATCTGGTCCATTTTTATATTACTGGTAAAGTTAATTGGATGCAATTACCTTATTCTATTTAATAATTTTCATTGATCACATCGATCATTAACAAAATTATCATTATACGAGGGTTGTCAACCCTCGTAATGCTGATCACACAAAAGAAGAATTTACAAGTATAGATAAGTGATGCATATAAAAACTAATTACTACTACATTTCTAGGGGAAGGCAAATCCTATTGTCTATATAGCCAAAGCTGTCCCAGTGCCTAAATGGACAAGTGGATATTTTCCTAAATTTACTTACTTCTTTATAAAAAGCATACAGCCAAGTGAAATAATCATTCAGATGAAATGAAAATGTAAGTCAAAATGGTATCTTGATAGCCCTGGTTATTTATAATATGTAAATCAATTATTTAAGACTTGCTTTGTAAGTTATGTTCCTTTCTGTTTCTTACCTTTTGTTTTACAAAACACTTTAGCATTAAACAAGTGCTACAATTTATAATTATTATAAATAAATCTATACAGACTATAGTCATTTACAGAAAAAGTATAATAACAATTAATCCCCAGTGAATCTAAGTGTATGTTTCCATTCAAACTCAACATAATAAAAATATACAGTGACACTTCAAACTTCAAAAACTTCAACGGGTTTTCTCGACAAAATCCACGAAGTAGACATCGACGTCGAGGAGGTGAGGACTGTACATCGGTGTAGAGTGGCGTGTTCCGACATAAATTTTTAAAACTATTTTACACAATTGTATCACAACTGTCCCATTGACAAACTGATGTTCCACACTACACCCTTAAAAAGTCATTTGACCAACATGTATTTACACTTTACAAGATGTTGACCATTTAAACATATGATGGTACGACTGGAACGAGCTGGATGGAAGATTTAAACGCCTCCAGGCTCTCAGAAGTAACACAAGAATCCGGTATAATATTCCAGGTATTAACAGTTCTTGGGAAAAATGAGTGTTGATAAACGTTGATTCTAGATTGGATTGGGATGAATTTCATACTATGACTTCTTCGGGTTGAACGAACTGTGGCAATAGTGGGGTGGTACGATACTGGTACAGCTATTAAGTAGTTAACTACTTTATACATGAGAGTCACATCTGCCCAAACTCTACGTTGTTGAAGACTGGGCCATTGTAATTTATTTATTAGTTCAGTTACACTAGAAGGATTGTGTGGGTTATACGGTCTATTCAATACCCATCTTGCTGCGTTTCTTTGTATCTGTTCTATCTGCTTAACTTGAGTCTTTTGTAAAGGATTCCATATTGGAGAAGCGTATTCCAGTTTAGGTCTGACCAAGCTGATGTAAGCCTTTTCTTTTACTTTGGGAGGACAGTATCTTAAGTTCCTCTTTAGAAAACCAAGTGTACTTGCTGCCTTTTTTGTGATGTTGTTAATATGGTCGTTGAATTTCAAATTATCACTGAATTCAACCCCTAAATATGGATGCCGGTTGACTATTTCCAAGCTTTCGCCTTTCATTTTGTAGTCATATTTCTTTCTGTGTGGAGAAGATGAAAATTGCATAATGGCGCATTTTTTAACATTAAATTCCATTTGCCAAATGTCCGACCAATTTTCAAGTTTACTAAGATCTTCCTGGAGAGCTAAGTTGTCACTTTGGTTACTTATCGGCCGATATAACACACAATCGTCAGCGAATAGACGTATACCTGATGTAATATTATATGCGATGTCATTTATGTAGATTAAAAAGAGTGTTGGTCCGAGGACTGTTCCTTGCGGTACACCAGATGTTACTGAGGCTATATCAGATGATGCGTTGTCCACTACTACTTGTTGTGTTCTATTAGATAAAAAGGAATCAATCCAACGCCTAGTATTACCGGAAATACCGTAATACTGACACTCACATTAATAATTAAACATATTCAAGATATTCATACCTTCTGGTTCCAATCTTTTATTATTATTAATACTATTATATTTTTAAAATCACCATTAAATACAGATAATAAACTGTTATTCACCCAATGGTTATGATCAAATCAACAATACCAATTTACCTTAACCAGCAAACCCAACATGTAACAGTATTTATCAAATTATACAAATTACAGACACTTTTTGACAGCTGTAAAAACACGTGTACCATTCCACATCATCCGCACTTATAAAGTTGTAATATGTTTCAAAGACACTTACCGGCATTTTGTTGCATCGATACAGGTGGTCTATTTTGCCAGTTAGGGTTGGAATTTGGTACATTTGCCATCGTTTACAAAAGTAGAAACATGAAATTCATGACGGTCTGAACACCGGATACTTTAAGACTCTGATAGCCAAGCTATCGTATACACTTTTGGTTTCAAAGAGACTTTCTTTCGTTTTAAAGGGATAATCTATAAAATTAAACTTGTATTCCTTTTCGATCTTTTGTATTACTGACGGTACATCGATTTTTCGTCAAATTTGTGTCAAACTTTCTTTCTGTTAAATTGCGGAAGTGCAAACCTTACACTAGAGCATGCGCAGACACTACCGACGTGGCAATAGAGTTACTGCCCTTTTAGGTGTCGTACGACTAAATTCAGTTATCTCGGCATCACTACATGTATATTGTTTTCTTTGTAAGATTGTCGGTGATACAAAACTTTTCGAAATTGACGCACTTCTGACAAGACTCCCCCGAAGCTCCAAAAACAAACTACATACAGAAGACAAAGACGATCTGTCTCTCCTCTTTCTGTCTCTGAAATCATTCGAAGTCAAGGATATGACAGATACAGGTATAGATACATGTATACTACCAAAGCTAATTAAGCTACATTGTATCATTAACCCATGCAAGTTTTATTATAAAGGCACTGAGAACTTTCTCAATAATCTCAATTCTCTTAAGTCTACAGAACATGATTAAATACAATGTAAGACCAATCATCCTAAAGACAGCAGAAATATCCCAGATTTTGATATTTCTATTTCAAAAGTACCTGCAATCAAGCACATTGCCAGATGTATGGAAAATATAGCTCCAAAATATAATTAAGAAAGACCCAGTAAACTAACGCCCAGTATCTCTTACCTGTATCCCGTATAAAAACCTGAAACATAGTGTCTCCTCTAGTTTAACCAAACGCTTTACAACCAAAACTATGTTCTATGAATTGCAGTATGGTTTCCGAGAAAAGACCCTGTCAAACCCAACTTCTTATGTTAGTAGATAACATCTTGCTATCTGTCAATAAAAAGGCAAGTTGGTCTTATACTTCTTATCTTCTTAAAAGCTTTTGATATGGTTAACCATGAAAAACTCCTCTATTGTTGGAAAGTCTGGTTCATTTATTGATTTATACATAAGAATTGACTTTTTGTACATGATTCTTTGGTCATTTGACATCCAGTTTAATTCTTTGAACAATTCACTTGAAGGTGTATCAAAACTTTTGTCTAGGAGTATTCTGGCTGCTCTTTTTTTAAATTTAATGACATCAGATAGTAATTCGTTGCTGCAGTTTCCCCAGATATTACAGCAGTAGTCCAAGTGTGGCAGTATGTATGCATTAAAAAAAGTTTTCTTTAGTTTAAACATATTTTATTTCAAACATTATCACACAAACATTTAATACATACAATTTTTCTTCAATGAAGATTAAGATACTGTTTAAGTCTAAGAAGTAAGTAAAGCTGTGAATTACATTTTTTATAGTTGACTAGACCTGTGTCTTCCATTTAAGATTGTTATCTACATACATTCCAAGTAGTTTTTCAGTGTTTTTATATTCTATTTCTTGGTCATTAAGATACAAAGTAGGGGGTTGCATAGTGTCTGTTTTTTTGCTTTTTATTGATAAATGCATAGCTTTAGATTTCTGAGCATTCAGAACCATTGCATTTTGCATGCACCATTTGCTTACATTATCAAGATCTTTTTGAAGGTTGCTGTTTGCTTCTTGTAAAGTATTGCAAGTAGTAGGCAGAGAAGTGTCATCTGCAAACATATCAGTTATTGATTGTTTCACATAAAATGGTAGATCATTAATGTATATAATGAATAGAAGGGGCCCAAGGAATGAGCCTTGGGGTACACCTGAGACAACTTAGCTGGTTCAGATAATACACTAGAAACATTTACTTTTCTGACAGATATGATTTAATCCAATTTATAGCTTGTGAAGAGAGATGATAAAAAGGTAGTTTTTCAAGTAGAAGTCTATGGTTTACTAAGTCATATGCCTTAGATAGGTCCAGAAAAAGTGTTCCAACAAGTTTGCCATTGTTTAGGACATTGATCCAGTTATCAACTATATTTGTAAGTGCTGTTTCACAGGAGTGGCTTGTTCTAGGTGTCTCCTAGGGTTCGGTTTTAGGACCTCTCTTGATTCTTAACTATATAAATGACCTTATTGACTTGGTAAAGTCACTCTAAAGATCGACAGTCTGCAAACGACACAGATGTGTATCCTCTTTCTGTAGCTTCTATCGCCTACCACCTACAACAAGGCCTACATCAAACATGGAAGTTAAAAATGGGACATAGAATTCAATCCCTCAAAATGTCAAGTCATTCAAATCACAAAACGTTAGACTCAAATACCAAATACCTTGTACAATATAATCATAGAATCAGTACCACCAACAAAAGACTTTGGTGTCACAATATCAGAAAATATAACCTGGAACATGTACATTAATTGACAACATTGTTTAAAAAGCAAACATAAAATAAGGTTCCTGCGACAACATCAATTACGGTCCACTATGAACCACTTAAAACTACAGCATATAAGACACTTGTCCGACCCCAGGTTGAGTACAGTTCCAGTGTCTGGTCACATACACTGGAGTTTTCATTGACAAGACTGAGTCCGCCAAAAATCGTGATTAGAAATTCATGTCTCGGCCATGGTTGATTCTGTGTAGTGGAGGAGCCTAGAGCAAAGACGAATAGATCTTTAAACTTTCCAGTACCTCCAAGAACAGTTTCAATCAAACCGAGCCTGCAACATTTTTAATTCGGTCATTTTTTGCGTTCTTTAGGAATTTCATTATCTCTCTTTTCATTTTTTTTTTGCAAAATAAGGTTACCATTCCCTTTCCAGACCTCCTCAAACCAGTCACTAGACCAACTCGAGAGTCCCGTGTTCAATAGTATTGTAAGCATTGTTCATACTTAAGCGAGCACTGATGACTATAATACAGTTTATGCAAAATCTAAAATGAGTACAACAATTAAATATAAACTACTGAATGGGAACTATTCTTATTTAAGAATGCAATGTCACGGGTAGAGTCCAGGGTTCATTTGATTGGCCATGTTTACATTAAATTTACGAAATATTTTTCCATTTTATCTTTAAACATCGATTGAGAATCAAGAATCCAGTTAGAAAACATTGTGTATCTATTTCATCATTAAAAGCAACCATAGCTGAGTAACCACGCACAGATACGCTAATCATAGGTCACGAATATTTTTAGTAGTATACAACCTAAAAAGGGGTGGTAACTCACATCCGGTGTAAATATGAGGAAGTGTCATCTGCTCACCTGATAAAAAATATTTTGTTTTGTTTTGTAATAAATGTACAATGACAGCCATTGATTATGGGAAATTGTTTACGAAAATGTTTTGGGAAGTTCGACGGAAGGTCTGTTTATGTGAAGAATTTTTACTTTCCTGTGAGCATGTAACTAATTCAAGCACTTTTGACAAAGAACTTCACAAAACTATAAATTATCAGTGTTTATCTATCTTCTTTATCGTTTTTGGTTCTTATTAGATTATTTTATAGTAATTCATTTCTATCTCGCTAAAATGAAATACTGTTCTGTGTTTTTAGTAATAAATGAGTAGGTTAGAAGTTTGAGTTAATTGATCAATTTTAACTCTGATGCTCATTCATTAGATTATTAAGTTAATTGGCATTCATGGATCCTTTTATATAAAATGTAGATCTCTCACAGAGAGTCGGGGGGGGGCAGACTTTGGTTCCTCCTTGCTCAGCCTTTTTGATTCTCAGTAATTTTTTAATATTTTTGAATGCATGTATCGTCAGGTCATGTGTTTTGACGCTCATCTATTTTGACGCCATTTTTGTTTTGACCTAAGAATTGGTGAAAACGACCTCGTATGACGTCATAATTTGCTGACTGCACTGCAACCATGTATTTATAACGTATAACTAAAACATTTGGAAAGACAGAGACATTTCACTAAAAATACTTCACCTTTATCAAATTTACTGTATTTTTTCATCTTTTTACTAATGCAAAATCAATCAATGTTTATGCAAGCCTTAATTTTGCAAATACAGCCTTTGAAAAATCTTCACCTGCCTTTTTCTGTTTCTGTCCTCCATTTTAAAATGTCTAATGAGGTCATGTGACCAAAACTTTGCAAAGTGCCCTTTATATTCACTGTTGCAAAATGTGTACAGCTTATATTTTTTTGAAAACGTAAATTGATTTTTAATTGATACCGAGTAAAATTCATAATGGGTTGATTATTGTATATAAAGTTTAAAAAAGAAAGAAAAAAAATCATTTCTTAAATCAACATATACATATCTTTACAACACCTTTCATTTTAGATATATTTTTCAGCTCTGTAAGCCAAAAACAGATGCTATTCATCAAGATTATTGGTAAATACATTCAAGCTTAAAGAGACAGGTGCACCTTTTAAGACGACTGCCAGGGTGTATGGCATTCCCAAATAATGGACAGTTTTATATGAAATAAAATATAATTTTAAGTTTCCACAATGTTGTTACATTAAATGTTAGCTCTTTTAAAAACTTCTTTTGCTGTACATATTGCATTACAGTGAAATATCCTTTAAAAATAACCATCCAATGAAAAGGCGTCATTTTATATGACTGTAAACCACAATGGATGCCTCCAGGGTCAGTTACTTTAATACAAAACTTCAGTGATTTTGAACTTTTTGCAAACATAAAAAAGGTTTGCAGTGATAAACATATGCCATAGTAACTTTATATTGTATTTTATTTAATGATCAAATTAAATATAAAAAAATGCACTAGTTAAACAGCTTAAGGGCGTCAAAACTAATGACTCTAGGATATGTGGGACATCTGTCTCAGTCTTGAACTTTGTTGGATACAATTACCATTGAATAAAAAAACGCCATTAACCATCTAGAGTCAATAAAGAAAAGATTACAGACTGAAAAAAAACACTTGTCATCGTTATCTTTAAAGTCAATAATAAAATTTTAATTTACTCTTACTGTGTTATGGTGATATTTCAGTGTCAATCAAAAGAATATTAAATTATCGTTGAGATGAAAATAGAGCAATGTTTATGATACCATAATTAACATATTATTGATACTGAAATTAGAACTTGCATCTTGACCATGCAATAATTATAAGAGTTCCTGGCAATCTACAGTGTGTTTATCAAGCCGGACACAAACAGTATACAGCATATGTCTCATGGCTCAGAAAATGAAACAATGGCACAAGCATAAAGCAAGGAACCTTTCTCGTATTGGACAGACAAGAATGTGTTTCAGTGTCCAAAATCTTTCCTTTATTGAGACTTGATGCTAACCAAGATTTTTTGCTTGTCTTTGAATGGTAACAAATTTCATGATTAAGATGATTGCTCTTTCTGTTTAAAAATGGTAAAAGTTTTTTTTATTGACAGTTGACAGGAATGAATCAAGCCGGCTGGGTCTGACCCTCAAGTGTCTGTGATATCTCTTGCAAGTTAATTTCAAAAGATATTACAAAATCCCATGAAATTTTCATTGAGTTATTTTTGGTCAAACTAAAAGATGGAAATAAATATTTAACGTGTATAACACCTTTGTTTTGTTTGTCTTTGACAATAATAACAGAAAAAACATACATTTTGTTTGTATCAACAGGTAGCCATGTATGAATTGTTGCATTAAGAGCCACTAGGCAGCTTAAACAGTATCAAAATAAGAGTGAAATAAGAAGTTATGATACTGATATGATACTCAATATCATATTTGGTCCAACAGCCTCTTGAACAAACTTGATACTGTTCTAAGCTGTGTAGTTTTAGCATAACATTATTTAAATCCATGAATTCACCATGGGCACAACCAAAATCAAAGCAGTCTTTTATTTTCATTACAAATTCAGCTGTGTATATGTCAAAAGTTTTGAAATTTAGATGAGTTTCTATCATGTTTTTACTTCAAATTTTAATCAGTTATATTAATTAAGGAAGTTAAACAGCTGTTCATGATTATAAAGAAAGTAATCAATGAAGTCATTATTACAGGAGGAAGTTGATACAGACAAGGTACTCAGTGGAAAAGGAGACATCAATAGAGGTAATGACATTGTCCTTTTTTCTTAATAACTGAGCTTTATTAGCCAGCTGAAATATGAGAATTTCTTGACTTTATGTCATCTTTGAATTCTTCTGAGATTCTGTTGGATTTGATGGGATAACAAAATGAAAATATGCCAAATAATATGCCAGATAGTTGGCACTTGCAAACAATTTTCATTTTTTTGTAATGAAAGAAATTCTCAAATTTCAAACAAACCACCAGAAACCATCATCACTGAAAACTTTCCCAAATAGTAGCTTAAATCCCAGATAATCATGAACTGTCACAATTATATATGTGTTAAATCCAAAATTGCTGTTGTGAAAAACATATTTTTTATTTATTACCAGTAGCTACAGAAAAGAATAATTCCAATTTTAAATATTTATTTTCCGATAAACCCATATACTATCTTACCAATGCACATCTTTATCTTATTTTTACAGTTTGCAAATTTAATGGATGAGGTATGTATAGCAACTATGGTGATTTTCTTTTTATTTGAAAAAAAAAATCCCACAAAAAACATTAAAATAACACTGAAAATATCCACATAAATCACATGACTGTTGTAATTTAAGCTTTAGCAATTTACAGATCATTTAATTCTCAGGCATTTACAATGTTGCATAGCAATGCCATTTAAGACAATGTGTGATACTTTAGAGTAGAACAGCTAAATATATAGGAAGAATTTACCTTTTGAAATCACAAAATTTATTTTCATTGATTTAGGGGAATATAGTAAGTCATATTATGCTTGTGGCCTACCTGTGTATTCTAAAGAGGGCATCTTAAAATTCTCTTTCAGAATTTCAGTGTTTCAATGTTGACATGCAACAAATGTGTTATTTTCAATGTCTAACTTGGTTATTTATGCATTTACATGTATACAGTGTATGTTTTCTAGTTTTAATAGTATAAAGTTTTAGTTCTGTGTTGATTAATGAAGATGTTTTGGGGTTTTTATGTTGACACTGTATATTTGGACATTACAGGAAGAGGTCCAAAATGAAATGAGCAAGTAAGTAATTGTATTGTTCACATCTTTATATTGTGGTCATTTATTAATAATAATAATGTTATGTATTTATAAGTTATATCAATGGTTATTCAGTTGTCTTTAGTATTCGTCATTTGACTCATTTCAAATTACTGTGACTTATGAATAAATGTCAAATTACTGTGACTTATGAATAAATGTCAAATTACTGTGACTTATGAATAAATGTCAAATTACTGTGACTTATGAATTAATGTCAAATTACTGTGACTTATGAATAAATGTCAAATTACTGTGACTTATGAATAAATGTCAAATTACTGTGACTTATGCATAAATGTCAAATTACTGTGACTTATGCATAAATGTCAAATTACTGTGACTTATGCATAAATGTCAAATTACTGTGACTTATGAATAAATGTCAAATTACTGTGACTTATGCATAAATGTCAAATTACTGTTACTTATGAATAAATGTCAAATTACTGTGACTTATGAATAAATGTCAAATTACTGTTACTTATGAATAAATGTTAATCAGCCTATTATAAAAACTGTAGGTATATCTTATAATCTAAGATCACCTGTTACTGTATCACTTTCATATACATAAAAATGCATTGAAAATATTTGTAAAGATTATGTTAAAATGGATTAATGTCCAGGATAAACTCTGGTTGCTCTGAACTCCAAAGACTTCTTAATATTAATGTACACGTTTCTGTGTGTAGTGGGTAGATCTCTATAAGAAATGTTAGTGAAAAAAAAGTAGTATGTATTTTGTAAATAGATTTTTTTTGCTAGAACTAAGGCTAGTGCATTCATTGTACTTAATAAAAAAACTTCTATATGTAGTTCACACTTTATTATTTTAAATAATGTGTGATGCTAACATATTACTTACTACAAAATAGGAAACCCTTAGTTTATAAATACCGTATATTTTAATTTTTGTATCTAGATATTCTTTGCTCTGTTTTGCTTTTTTTGAGAGTTTCCACTCTTATTTATAAATTTTATGTCCTTAAAAGTAGGTAATTTTCTTCTGTACAATGTTTGACTTACCGTAATCTATTGATGTTTAAAAGATTGAATTATTGCATTCCTGGCAACCCAGTACCCGTTTGGAACTTCAAAGGCTAAATGGACCTTTCACTGTTTCTACATACTATAAACTGGTATTCTATATGTGTCTTTATGTCTCGTTACTACCCGGCAGTCTGTTGTGAAGGCTTCTGCATTATTTGATTTTATGTTTCAGCCTATTAGCATGGCACTATGGTCTGAAACCTATTACCATCTTACTTGTACATTTTGTATTTTAAATTTTAAATTAAAAAGTTCATAATTGTTAATGGTAATTGAAACAAATCAGATTGTGCACTTCATGAAGATATTTTACCCCCGCTCCAAGGTAAAAACAAACTTTTACCCTGATAGCTTCATGGTACACTACTGTTCTGTTCACAATAGAGCAATCAACTTATCAATATATTTACTAAGTTGTAACTTTGTTTGTACTCTGGGATTAGACAGAAAAAATCTGCAGTTGCTGTGATTAGATATCCTAACATTGATATTGTTATCCGTTATATAGCAGATAAATGTATCATTTTAAGTTTTGTTTATTTGAATTCTGATATGGACGATTCAATACATTAAAGAATAATACATTAATTGGAGCATTGATTTATTTGAAAACTGAATTAATTAGTGTCTACTTTGATATTTAGCTTGACTGTTAAATGTTTCTTTATTTGAAACCTGAATCGTATTATTATCGACAAAATTGTGTATCAATTATTTAAAAGTTAATTGAATATTCCGTTTTGCACAATCTGATTTGAAACCCCAGTATAGCATGAACATGTTGCAACAAAGTTTTCACGACACCCATACTCCTGAAAATGTTAAGTGATTTTCCATAGAGAATGTCATGATTATTTTATTGAACTTCTTGTTGAAGTGCTTGTGTGGTAACTTCATATGGCCAGATGTGGCTGAGTCACTTTAAGCTTGTTGCTGATAAGTTACAGGCATATTTTAAGTATGCATTCATCAAGTTGTTCAGCTTTCATTTGCACTTAGTCCATGCCGTAAAAAAATAAAACAAAAACCTAACCACTGATCCACCTAAAAGTTGTCGTCCATTATCAGTTATATGGGGATCAAGATAAAAAATTAAAGTTTAATCAGTCAAACAGTATAGAGCTTTGTCAGACTGCATGGATGTGCCCACTGATCTGGCTCTTTACTGGTGCCAAATGCTAATTAATTTCATGAAATGGTTAAATATTTTTTACTTCATAAATGTGATTATAGCTTTGCTTTTTTTACTGAAATCATGTTCCATTAAATGTCTTGGAAAAATGTGTCCACTTCTTCAAAAAGTTATTTATAGTAATTTTGAAAATGTCTGCTCCTTATGCTTTAACCTTTTCCCTTATATAAGCGTGTTTCGATGGCTTTTTGCCCCCCCCCCCCTTTTTGAGGCCTCAAACAGTGAAAAAATGCCCTATTTAGGCCCCAAACACTGTTTTTCGTTTGAGAAATGTTGTTAAAAAAAGTGACCACTTTTTCGGCGCCGTCCCCCATCCAAATATTACATCAGGGGGTTGCCAGAAGGGGGATGTGCCAAGAAAATTTTGGACATGTGACAGGCTAAAAATGGCCTCAGGTCGATCTTAGGGTAACTAGTAACCGACGCTGAAAAGCCTTTTACTCTATCTCAATTCATTGAGAAGTTGCAGCACTTTGAAATCAGTTTTGATGGAAAAAAACAATGCAAAATAGTGATTTTTGGCAATTTTGAGATGTCCCCCCGTTGCCATGGTAACAGGAAATTTACCATTGAGCATGCTGTTACAGAGGCTATGGTGTAGTCAACATTTGTGCCAAGTTTCATTAGTATTGAAGCATTTTTCATAGTTTCATAGCAGTTTGAACTTGTTACAGGAGGCTTTTCAATGAAAATGGCCATTTTTCGTAATATGCTCATGGGGTGAAAGGTTAAGCAAGAAAATGACTACTGTTTATGTTATTATATATTGTTTTGTTGTGAACATTTTGAGATGTAGTTTTGAGATGTAGACTTGTAGCATGTATTGATGTATTTTTTGTTCAGTTTTATTTAGTGAAACTAGTTTTATCCTGTCGGAAAAGATATAGATCAATTTTCCAGTATACATACTAAAGTTTTGTCATTGCCATTTGGTTGTTATAAGGCATATCTTTTCAACTTTGACTTATGAATAGAATTACTTATTGAGAATTCTTAATTTGAAATTTCTTAACAGGGGCATAAGAAATAAAACAAAACAAAAACACAAAAATCATATTAATGTAAATACTGCTTATCAAAAGACAGACTTGAACAAAACTAGTTTTTCAGTGTTTTGAGTATGTGTTTTGATTATTTTCTGTGTTATTAGATTAGTAACGGAGCGAGAAAAGCAGCTTTTATCCACCAAACGTTACAATACACTATTCAGTGAGCAACAACTACGAGATGCTGAAATTGATAGAAAGGTAATTAATGCACAACTATGCCTTCTAAGCCTTTTTTTATTGATATTGCCATTTTTGTGTCGCCTCTACGGAGTAGTGGCGACATATAGGGATCACTTCTCCGTCGTCTGTCTGTCCGTCTGTCTGTCTGTCCGTCTGTCTGTCTGTCTGTCCGTCCGTCACAAAACTTGTCCGGACAACTGCTCATAAACTACTGGTGCAATTTCATCCAAACTTTACAGGAATGATCAGTACCAAGTCTAGTTGTGCATATTGTCAGCATTTTCCGGTTCAATGATTTTTGTCAGAGTTATGGCCCTTTAATAATTTTTAATTTTAAAGTTTGTCCGGACTACTTCTCTTATACCACTAATGCAATTTCAATGAAACTTTACAGGATTTGAGGCGACACATGTGATTACTGATCGCTCTTGTTTCTAGTTTTGATTTGTTTTTCATAAAATTAGCAGGTGTTTTTTTATGCTCCCCGAAAAATTTCGGGGGAGCATATAGTCGGCGCCTTGTCCGTCTGTCCGTCTGTCCGTCCGTCCGTTGTCTTGTTAGGAGCATAACTTGAAAACCCTTGGAGATAATTTGTTGAAACTTCATACATTGGTAGAGGGCATCGAGGGGGAGTGCAGTGTCAAAGAACCATAACTCTATTTTGCCCGGTTTTTGAATTATCTCCCCTTATAGAAAAATCTTGTCCGGGGCATAACTCTAAAACTATAAGAGATATCAACATGAAACTTTGTAGGTGAATAGATCTCAATGGGTAGATGTGCAGTGCATAAGAACAATAACTCTTTTCATCCTAATTTTGGAGTTATTGCCCTTTGTTAATTTTAATACTTTGAACTTTGTCCGGAACATAACTTGAAAACCCTTGGAGATAATTTGTTGAAACTTCATACAGTGGTAGAGGGCATCAAGGGGGAGTGCAGTGTCAAAGAACCATAACTCTATTTTGCCTGGTTTTTGAATTATCTCCCCTTATAGAAAAATCTTGTCAGGGGCATAACTCTAAAACTATAAGAGATATCAACATGAAACATTGTAGGTAGATAGATCTCATTGAGTAGAGGTGCAGTGCAAAAGAACCATAACTCTGTTAAGCCTTATTTTTGAATAATCTCCCCTTTTAGAAAAATCTTATCCAGGACATAGCTGTAAAACTATAAGAGATATCAACATGAAACTTTGTAGGTAGATAAATCTTAATGGGTAGATGTGCAGTGCACAAGAATCATAACTCTACCTTGCCTAATTCTGGAGTTATTGCCCTTTGTTTATTTTTACTTTTTGAATTGTCCAGGACATAACTCGGAAATTATAAGAGATATCATCAAGAAACTTTGTAGGTTGATAGATCACATTGATTAGAAGTGCAGTGCAAAGAACTGTAACTCTGCCTTGCCTAATTTTAGAATTATTGCACTTTGAACTTTTTCCACGGACATAACTCTGAAACTACAAGAGGTGTACTTTCCTGTGTCCAAAACCTATTCGGGGAGCATCACCCGGCTCAAACCGGGCTCTTGTTTTATAATACTTCAAGGTCTTTAAAGAATCAGTCAATGCTATACTGCACTTATTTGTGCTAATATTAAGGATAATATGCTGGTAAACTCCTGTGGAAAACGTTAGTTTAAACTCATGTGTAAAACATTAGTTTTAGAACCTTTAGATTTTATTACAATCATTACATATTAATAATATGTTTTAGTTTAGGTTATACAAATTTATTTTAGTTAGATTGTGTTGGAACTTTTAAGCTTATTAATATATTGAGACACTCTTGAATTCGTTCCTGGAATCAGCCAGTACTAAGGAATGAGTGTAAAGATTCTTGCTCACAGAAACAATGGCTTGCCTTTAATGGGGTTTGAACCCACTTGGCAAGCAATCAGCAAATAACTAATTTAATTTGTTAACCACTCTGCCACCAGTGATAATTACATTTAGGTAGTGGAAACCATTAAAATTATATTTTGGTCATTTGTATCTGGCTCATCACTCAAACCCTAATGTCCTGGCAAGAAATGAATTAAGTGCTCTTAATAGTTTCTCTTAATAGTTTAACCCTAAGCAATACTAATAAGATAGATTCAATTACCAATAATGCTTACACGTACATCTTATTCCATTTTGATACAAGACTAATATTTATTAAACGATCTAAATGTATATTTTGGACTACCTTTTAATTAAGCTATGAAGATAACCTAATAAGGAATAGTCACATTAATTAATTTGCCTAATTTGAAGTATTAATTAACAAAAATGATCTTCAAAAGTAACTTTTTTCTATCTTCTAGAGAGATACACTTTTCTAGAGAATGTTATGCCATTAATTCACTACTGGACGTTATTATCTCCTGTTGAAAATTAAAGTAAATCTTGTCATTTTTCTGATATCCAACATTATTGTTCTTAACATGCAAATCTTTAAATGAAGCTAATTTAAAGGAAATTTTCTAAGAAAATTCAGAAATCACGCTGTCATGTGACACTGTTTAATTAATTTCTCTGAATGACATTCCTTCCTCCCCCCACCCAACCGCTATAACATTAGTTTACATATACACATAGCTCTTATTCTGCTTTCTGTTTTGCTATATACATGTATATACATGTACATTTGTAAAAATCTATATATTCTTTGTATCCCAGATATTTATAGAAAATCATTGAAAAATGATCGCAAAATGTCATAAGAACTTTTGCTACATGTACACATGCTTTATTGTTTATTAATTTTTATCACAAGACTTTGCAATCATTAAACTTAAGAGGTTTTTGCTTTACATGTACATTGTATATATGTTTCCTGCATCATTTATTGAGAATTATTGTTACACAGATATTGCTGAATTTGATAAAGCTTATGAACATTTAAAAAAAAGAAGATACACTTTTGCATGATAATTATTGGTGATAATTTATGTGATAATATTTTTCAAATGACTGATAATCATGTTGTACATTGTTTATTATTTTGACAAGTTAAAATGTAAATCAGTGTTGAGTGATACATAATCATTGACTTTGACCCCATTCTTTATTATTTATATACTAACATTGATATAATTCTTTCAACTTTTACAAGTAGTTAAATTTGGATATATTGTCACCTTAGTGCAGTAAAGGATTAACTCCTATTAGATTATAGAAGGACTTATTCCATTACTGCATAAAAGGGAAAAATTATGCAGAGCTAAAAATAATTTGAACAAGGTATAATTTTACTGCATATAATTATTGGCTATCGTAAGTGTAAAGTTATATATACATTTACATTAATATTACCTCTACCATTGTATTTTGGTAAAAATGTGTTAATCTTTTTCTAAATATCAACATAACCTTGTTATTTTATAATACAGTGTAAAGATCAGAGATTAATTTGATTTAGGCTGAAGTATGCATGTTTTAAAAGTTTGTTTTTTTGTAGAATCTCTATGTATGTATATCCCTAAGAAATTTTGTTAAATCTTTAAATGAATTTATTTTTCAAACATTTTAACTTATTTAATAATAGAGGCAATATTTAATGTTTCTATGTCACCAATACAGAGCTGTTAATATGTTACCAGTTGAGAAATCAAGCAATTGGTAAAAGATTAAAAAAAAATGGTCCATATAGATCATTTACTGTGGTGTGCCCCTAGAAAACTGTTGTGATAAATTGGATATTTGCCTTCAGTTTCGTATGCAAATGTGCAATTATCTAACTTAACCTTAGTTGTTGTGTTGATAATAGAGTTCTAAGTCTCCAGTAAAGAATGGCCAGCAAACCAATTTGTACAGTCTGAGTAGACTCAAGACTACTTTTCAATTTGCATAATCTTCCTTTAAAATCTGTGAAGAATATTATCAGACAGCTGTAAATATTACGCACAACAATTTTGTTTTATTTCTGGTACTTAATTGGTAATGAGTTTTAAGTTTGTTTTGTTGGATTTTTAATCACACCAACAGTGTAAAGGTCATATGGTGACCTTCGAGCATTATTTCAGGCACAAGTGGGTATCTCAGTAGAACCTGATGAGAAACCATAAGCTTGCTGAATAGGATCCTTTCCCTGATGGGATTTGAACCCACAGAAGTGAGGAACAAGAGTTTTCAAATCAGAGACCTTTACCACTTGGCCACAGAGGCCATGTATTGGTTAATTTATAAGTGTACAGATTTAAGTGGGGCGGACACAATTTTGCAGTCATTTATGCTAAGAATTGTAAAACAGATCACTGATTAATAAAGATCCATTAAGTATTCATAAATTTAAAATGCTGGTCAATGGTTAAATAGTCTATATCATTTTTGTAATAATCTAAAAACATTTAGTTGAAAACCGAATTGTTAACACATCAAGAGTTAACAGTACTTGACATATTTGATATATATTATGTTATTGTTTTAGCTTCAGGATGACGAGGAAGAGTTACGACGCGAGGAGGAGGCTTATATCGAGGCAAAGAGGGAGGCAGCTCATATAGCTAAACTACAGAAACAGAAAGAAGAGGCAGCTAAACAAACTAATGGTCCGAAATCCTGGAAGGCCGGTGAAGATGGGGAATGGGAAGTGTAAGATTGTTTTCACGTATTGCAAAATTTGCCTGGGCAGAAATCAGTTGTTGTTGTCATCAAATAATTGAGCTGTACTTCAAAAAGTTTATATAGGAAACATTAGGATAACTTTTAGTTTTCAAGAGTATGGTAATAGTGTCAAGTTATTTGTCTCATACCATGATTCAGAAATTATTTGGGATTAGAAGTCAATCACTTGTGGCAAAATATGTAATTTCTGGTTAGTTATTCAGGAAAGCAAGTTAATTTTTACCCACCCCTGTGATATGACCAAAATGTCTTGAAATAGGGGTGAAAACCAGATGAGTAAATAAAAAAACAACAAAAATGCCCCAGAAAAACAGGCATTTTATTTTACTCACCCTGGTGACAGTATTGGTTCTAGGTTAATTTTGCATGCAAGTACTTCAAGTGCCCTTGTCTTAAATAACCAATGTATTGTTTGGATCTAAACTTCACACCAGCATTTCAAATGATCGAACCAACTGATAGAAAAAGGTTTCATTATTTTAGCCTGCATATAGCTAGAATTATAGCTCTTGAATAAATAGATTACAGTTTTACATCTTAAGTCATTCTCAACAAGCTTATACAGTATTTGCTTGAATTTTCATATGCATGTCTTTAGGTTCTTAAAGGCATTTGCTAGGGTTACATATAGCAGAATGAAAGCTGTATAATAGAATTTATTTAAACCTTGCATGAAGCAGCATGATCCTAGAATATGATAACGGAAACATTTTAAACGAAAAACAATTTTATTGTACAGGTTTTCATTCTGCTATATGTAGCCCTAGCATATACCTTTAACAATAGGTCACCGACCAAAACCAACAGCTGTAGCATGGAATTTTTACTTTTGTTAATAGAAATTTCCTGTTGAAGCAATATAAAAGTGGAACAAACAGTCCTTTTACAGCTATTGCTATGTTGTAGCATTTTGGTTTTAGGAAGCAATGTATTTTACATTATCCTCAAAATATAGTATAGATATTGATTGATCAGTTTTCCTGTTTCTGAAGTTATTTTGAAAGAATTTGAAAATAGATGAGTCTGGCTTAAATTTATCATTTGACATGGGTACAATTACTGCAATGAGAAGTCTTTAGTCTGTTTTATAGGTATCATAAGTAATTTTAGTTAATTTTGTAGATTTCGATTCAGGCTATCCAAACCGTCACTGAGTCAGAAAATTTGAATAACAAAAAACAGATATAGGATTAGACCATGGTCATTTACGTTATGGGAAAATGAAGATGATGCTTAAAATAGATATCAATTTTTCAGTGCCGGAGGTGAGGACGATTTTGAGATGTTCTTGGAGAGTGTTAGAGAACGTTCCCTCAAGGCAACTGCTCATCTTAGAAAAGGTTAACTATAATAAAACCTTAATTCATATTGTCTGCAATAGTTCATTGTATTTTGTGATGGTTTAAACAAATTGCAAGTATATTTGTAGATCAGTCATGGAAAGTGGGCATTATATTTACAAATGTATTTGAACTCTAAAGTGATTTTCATGATTGTTGGACCAACTTTAAATATTTCTAAAGCAGTTATTAATAATTTATTTCATTTTAACAACTTTTATCATACATAATAATGTAAAATGATAACTCTTGTATATCAATTAGATAAATTGAATATGGAATTGTGTCCCTTAGATTACAAAAATAAGCACTGTAGAAACGCAGACATTACTTAATTGAACTAGAATAGATAAAAAATGCTGTATGTTACTTTGTTTCCGTGATAAATTTATGTTCACTTTTATGTTTTAACATTGATAATTTGATTAATAAGACAAGCTTTAAATATGTGACAATATTCTTTTCTCTCATATTTACCTGATAAATGAATTGATTAGAGTATGTAGCATCATGATGAGATAGAGTTTATATCTAAGATATTCAAATATTTGTATAATTACTATAAAGTTGTAGTGTGAGATATTTTAGACAATTAGATAATAGTAATTGGTTTGAATCTACAGGGATTGCCCCGATTCCTTTTGAACTTTTCTTGTGATGCATGTAATAATTAGTTTAAACATATTTGTTCCAAGTGTTCATATATATGAGTATACAAGCATTCAACAAACATAATTTTACATAATGAAAAAATATGAGAATGAAAGATGAGTCTTACAGAATTCCCTCAGAGATGTTACATATACAGCAGGGAGTTTCTTGAAAAGTATTTAAACTTCAAGCTTTTGTACCAACATCAATCCGGAAAAAAATCTGGCATGGAAGTGGTAAATTTCTTGACCAGAATGTGTGTGTTTAAAAATCATTCAAGTTTTTATCATTGATTTTTTTTAAGCATCTGTTTAATAGTGAACAGTATAGGGCCAGGACAGCATTGCTTGAACTTAAGAGTTTTATTTTACATAGCTGCTGTAATAACAAATCTTTTCCACACGTATAAACCCAGGCCATCCTGTACATATGTGCAGTTTGCCCAGACACTAGATTGTTGACTACTTAAAAGGACTCCACTGAGGTTTTGTGACTTGACGGGACTGGACATAATTTTTGTGTCGCCTTGAAAAGGTGACATATAGGGGTTACTTTTGTCGGCGGCGTCGGCGGCGGTGTCTGTGTCGGCGGCAGCGTCGTTGTCGGCGTCCCCTAAAGCTTGTCCGGAGCATAACTCAGTCACTATAAGTCTGATTGACTTCAAACTTGGTATGCATGCTTCTTTCAATAACCCGAAGTGAAGTGCACAATGACCAGTACTCTGCAGTTCTTATTTTTTGAGTTATTGCCCTTTGTTAATTTTCATACTTTAATTTTGTCCGGGCCATTTCTCTTCAACTAAAAAAGCTATGGACTTGAAACTTCATAGGATGATAGATCTCATTAAGAAGAAGTGCAGTGCACAAGAACCGGTACTCTGCACTTCCTAATTTTTTAATTATTGCCCTTTGTTAATTTTCATACGTTATTTTTGTCCGGGCCATTTCTCCTAATGTATAAAAGCCATGGACTTGAAACTTCATAGGATGATAGGTTTTATTTAGAAGAAGTGCAGTGCACAAGAACAGGTACTCTGCATTTCTTAATTTTTGAGTTATTGCCCTTTGTTCATTTTCATACTTTAATTTTGTCCGGGCCATTTCTCCTTAAGTATAAAAGCTATGGACTTGAAACTTCATAGGATGATAGATCTCCTTAAGAAGAAGTGCAGTGCACAAGAATCGGTACTCTACATTTCTTAATTTTTGAGTTATGGCCCTTTGTTAATTTTCATACTTAATTTTTGTCCAGGCCATTTCTCGGAAAGTATAAAAGATATGGACTTGAAACTTCATAGGATGATAGATCTCATTAAGAAAAAGTGCAGTGCATAAGAACTGATACTCTGCATTTCTTTTTTTTTGAGTTATTGCCCTTTGTTGATTTTCTTACTTTATTTTTGTCCTGGTCATTTCTCCTCAAGTATGAAAGCTATGGACTTGAAACATCATAGAATGATAGATCTTATTGATAAGAAGTGCAGTGCACGGAAACTGCTGCTCTGCCCTTATTAATTTTTTAGTTTTTGCCCTTTGTTATTTTTCATATTTCATTTTTGTCCTGGCCATTTCTCCCAAACTACATTGTTCACAAGGCGATACATCCGACTCGCAAAGTTCTAGTTTGAGATTATTACTCCATTTGATGTAGATCTGTACTAATAACTTATGTGCAAAATATCAGATCATTAGCTTGCTCCGTTTTTCCAGAATAATTGTTATAATAGTGAAAAATTGAAAAGCGTTTAAACGCTTTTCACTCAAATTGAACTGAGCATAGCACAAACATATGCTTTTTAATATATCCCTTGTATATTTCTTGGTTATATTTTCATTGTTATTCTGTTTTAAGTGCTTATGTTGATCTATGTGAGAAATTAAAATTTTATGTTTTTACGCTTATAAACCTCAGTGGAGTTCCTTTAATGTTTGTAATTTGATATTGAAATATGAAAAACAAGATCATCAAGGAAGTTCAATGACTATAAACTGTTTCAATATCAAAGAAGGGCACATCCATTACATAAATTTAGCATCGGCAATTCAATTTTTTGTCTGTGAAAAGAGTTGCTAGGTGTTTTGGTTTATATGATTATTGATTATGCAGATTATGTATATTACTGTGGATATAATCATGGATAATGTATATAATCGTGGAGAAAAGAAATATCAAAAAGGTCACGGATGAGTATTTAATTGTATTAAGTGCATTATTCTACACATCATTGTTTACTAAATATACTCCTAATGTTTACAAAACATTGATGACTGACTTTATAAAAGCTACTGATTTGCTTTGAAGAGACTTTTGAAACTCATTTATGGAATATGTAAACACAACTGATATTTTGACAACTATCTGAAATACTAATTTGTATTTTTCAGATAATAATTTTCAAAAAAACAACTAACAAGAAACAAGAACTATGTCTATTCTGTATCCCTATCATTTTAGGCCTGAAACAATGTTACTTTTTTGCAATAAAAATAAATATGCTGTTTTTTTGGGAAAATAACTAAGACTTTAATGAATTTTACAGATGGTGATGGCCAGAGTTCTAACAGTTCTCCGACACCTGTAACACGAGAGAGGTCTCATACTGATGGCTCAAATTCTGTAGAACTGGAATGGGATCATGATGAAGGTACATCCTATTTGTAAATAATTATGTATATGTTTAAAAATTGAGGTTGACTTGAATCTGTAGAATAACTATCAAAAATAACTTTTTGGAGTTTTGGATCTTTTTGTCTATCTGGTATCATCAACAAAGGTTGTTGGATATCCTCAGGTGTTGATACGACTAAAGCACTGAATGGAATCAATTTTTTGGCTCAGTGGTCTATAGTGTTATTACTTTGTTTATAAGCTCATTGTGGCTAGTTTTAATCCCAGTCAAGGCAGGACTTTGCCTGATGCATTCCTCTTCTGTTTAAAAGAATGTTTAACTTGAGTTTACTTGATTTGTGCTTAATAAATGTTAAAGTAATGTTTACATGTATAAGTAAAATTGATATAATTTATTCAATATTTGGTGATAGATACTGGCATCATGCCAATAAGAAAAGAGCGGTCCAACACAGAGGAAGATTTGATGCACCTTGCCCAGCAAGAGACTCGTGACAGTCCGGCCAGTCCTGCCTTATCCATGGACCTGGAATGGGACACAGAATTCACAGCCTCAGAAGATAAAGATACTCAAAATCTGCTAAAAGCAGAATACCAAATAGCTCAGGATGCCAGGTGATAATGTGAGACGTTTCTGAGTAGTGAACAAATCCTTATAGACATAAAAACAATGCTGAAATTGACTTGATAGTCCCAGATAGATTTTATTAGGCACCTTTACAAACGAATGTCAATGCATATCAACATTATATTCATAGTTTCTGTAGCTCTAAGTCTTTGCATTTTCTTCTGATTGTTTTGTATGATTAAGCTACAAGCTATTGTGCTTTTAAGATCAATTTGGAAGATAACGTGTTTTATTTTTGTCAGCTATTGTTGCTGAAATTTGTACAATTATTGCCAATTACTGTAGGGAAATGTGTTTTATTTTTGCAAATCAGTTTGCAGTAATTTTTGCCAATCATTTAGGTAAAATCTTAATTCTTGTAAACATTATTGTGAAATAGACATGTAAGATTATGGTTGGCCAATTTGTTACTGCATATAGTTTGAAGATATTATTTACAATCTAATATAAAAAGATACTAGTAGATTTAAACTTATTTTTAATTAAAATTTTTCACAAAGAGAGGTTGAAGAAGGCATAAAATTTATTTTTATTAAACATTCCAGTGAAAACCTACCTTCATATACAACATTCCTTCACACATGCTTTCTGATATGCATTTAAGTCTGTGATATATTAATATATATATAGTAATGTAATGAATGTTTTGTTGAAACATGTTCATTTAAAAGCTTTAACCAGTTCAAGGTCATTCATTCAAAATAATATTTTTTCATTTACCCATTTCACCCCTTCAATGCCATTTCTAATACTGCACATTTTGTTACATGAATTTTCATTGTTCAATTGCTATTTTAGTCAGCATCTATAATTGCAGTTTTTCTTAAGGAAAATATTCATCGGTATGTTTTGCTTTAAAACAAAATTGGCATTATTTATATCAGATGAGTCTATTTGTTAAGCTTTATTTTTATGTCTTTGAATTTTTACTAAGATGAGGCACAGGGTTAAAATTACATTGAATTATTTTGTTTAAATGATAATTTGATATTGTTAATATGGTAAGAGAAGTTAATGTTTTGTTGGTCTTTTTGTATTACTAATTTATTAATGTTCCATCTTAAAGAATAACAAGTGTTTACAGTTAAAGAGCAAAGAAGATACTAAATGATTTTATCAGCAGAGACATATACTTAAAAAATCGGCATATTTTGGTAATTAATTTTGATGATAAATCCAATAATTTAAATTCTCCATATATAAATAATGATTTTAAATATTTGCAAAGTTTAGAGGTAAAACTTTAACTTTACGATTATGAGAAGCATTTATTCACCTTGATAATGAAACATTTGTAATCCCTGTGATATTGAAACCACAAAATTGTTGTAAAAACTTTGTCCTATTGGAGACAATCATATGGTAAAGTCCCTTCCAATGCTTACTGCGATGTGGATAAGGCTACATGCATATCCCAAGCTATTTATAGTGTGAAAATGTAAACAAAATACTGCAATTGCCACAGAAATGGTCCATTTCCTCTGCAGGACGTTACAAATGACTGGTGCTTTATGATACAGTTCCCATTTCCTTGTCATCCAATTTCATTTTCCTGCAAATAATGCTCAATGGCATAGTTGATTTTAAATCATCATTGGTGTTAATCCTTTACAGTTACTTATATCTAAGGTGTCCAACCAGAGATTAAAGACCAGAATGGGAGTGAACTCTCATTGGTCAGTTTAAATGAATGTCTTTGATTGGCCAGATTTAAATCTGTGTATATTTAAAATTACCCAATCAGATGCTTGAGATTGATTTGTAAAAAAAAAAATACTGTCTTGTAAAAAGATGATGTCCTGTCCAAATGATTTATAGCATTGTACCATTTCAAATTGTCATAGTTTCCTTATGAAAAAAATCATTGTATCATTTCAATCATTCATGAACATTGTAATTGTGATAAAACTATAAATTGAATGAGTAGTTTAAGGTGGTATATTAATATATATGTTTGTGGTGTAGGTTATATATTTTGGTCTTGAGGTGGACTTGGTCTTCTTAATTTTGTTGTTTTTCTTCTTTTAAACAAATTCTATTATACATGCACCAGTCATGTAATTTTGTTGTGAAACTATTTAGACCACACTATAGATATCATATAAATACATGTATATATTTATGTTGAAATAACCTTTCTAAAAGTTATATGTAGATGTAATTTTGTAAAATTATGGTCAATTTCTTGTACAGGGGAATCACAATTTTCTGTTGATTTGGATTTGTTAATCATTCTAGATCATACATGTATATGATTTGTGTTGATCATAAATTGATGGTTCGATATGAACTTGACTAATATATTCTATAAGAATCCTAGCTTTAAATGTGTTTCCTTATATTATTTCATATTCTCAAAATGTAGCTTTATCTTTGATTGACCACAAACTTTTTTTAGCTCACCTGTCACAAAGTGACATGGTGAGCTTTTGTGATCGCTTTTCGTCCGGTGTCCGTCCGTCCGTCTGTCATCCGTTGTCTGTCCGTAAACTTTTACTTTAAACGACATCTCTTCATAAACCGCTGAGCCAATTTCATCCAAACTTCACAGGAATGTTCCTTTGGTGATCAACTTTAAAAATTGTTCAAAGAATTTAATTCCAAGCAGAACTCTGGTTGCCATGGCAACCAAAAGAAAAAACTTTAAATCTCTTCTTTTAAAAAACCGTAAGAGCTAGAGCTTAAATATTTAGCATGAAACATCATCTACTCAGTGTCTTCCAAGTTTGTTCAAATAAAAGCCCTTGGGTCAAAATTGGCCCTGCCCCAGGGGGTCATTGTTTTTCCCTTTATGTATATAGTAAAAACTTAAAAAATCTTCTTTTAAAAAACCCAAAGAGCTAGAGCTTAGCTATTAAGCATGAAACATCTTCTAGTGGGTGTTTACGAAGTTTGTTCAAATAAAAGCCCTGGAGTCAAAATTGGCCCTGCCCCAGGGGGTCATTGTTTTTCCTTTTATGTATATAGTAAAAACTTAAAAAATCTTCTTTTAAAAAACCCAAAGAGCTAGAGCTTAGCTATTAAGCATGAAACATCTTCTAGTGGGTGTTTACCAAGTTTATTCAAATAAAAGCCCTGGAGTCAAAATTGGCCCTGCCCCAGGGGGTATTTGTTTTTATGTATATAGTAAAAACTTAAAAAATCTTCTTTTAAAAAACCCAAAGAGCTAGAGCTTAGCTATTAAGCATGAAACATCTTCTAGTGGGTGTTTACGAAGTTTGTTCAAATAAAAGCCCTGGAGTCAAAATTGGCCCTGCCCCAGGGGGTCATTGTTTTTCCTTTTATGTATATAGTAATAACTTAAAAAATCTTCTTTTAAAAAAACCTTTAGTGCTAGAGCTAAGATTCTTAGCATGAAACATCTTCGAATAGGTCTCACCATTTTTGTTCAAATAAGGGCCCTGGGATTAAAATTTACCCCGCCCCGGGATAATTGATTTTCCTTACATGTATATAGTAAAAACTTAAAAAATCTTCTTTTAAAAACCCAAAGAGCTAGAATTAGATATTAACTAAAGCATGAATTATCTTCTAGTGAGTGTCTACCAAGTTTGTTCAAATAAAAGCCCTGGGGACAAAATTGGCCCGCCCAGCGGGGGGAGGGGTCATTGTTTTTCCCTATATGTGTATAGTAAAAACTTAAAAAATCTTCTTAGAGCTAGAATTTAGATATTTATCATAAAACATCTTCAAATGGGTGTCTACCAAGTTTGTTCAAATAAAAGCCCCTGGGTAAAAATTGGTCCTGCTCCAGGGGCCTATATACAGGTGAGCGATTTCAGGGCCATCATGGCCCTCTTGTTTATTTTAATTGTTGTTTCTTTATTTCTGTTTGAAAATTTTATTTGATTGTTGCAGCTTTTATGTTATTGATATTTGATTTCATTGTCATAAATGATTATTTGCCTTTGCTTGCTTTAAATGATTAATGATAAAAAAACATTAATGATTAAGTATTTTACAGTAGATCACTTTAAATTAGCAGACATGTTCATTTTGTTTGAAATTTTTGGTTGCTAATAATTTGAAACATTGAAAACTTAATTTTTGTGACCAAAATGGCATTCAGAGCTGGCCACAATTTATTGTTAAAGATAAAAATTTCAACTATTTTCTGCAACTAATTATTGACTTTGATTAAATTGTTGTATTTTATACAAAGTGTTGTACAAACGTCAGTAACAAAACTCAAGAGGAAAACAATTATATAGTAAGCATTAATCTTTACCTAGCTGGATGGGGCTTACATGGCTGAGTGGTTAAGGTTGTTGACTTGAACCCACTTGCCTCTCACTGCAGTAGTTCGAGCTGCGCAAGCATCTATGATTCTATATGTGAGAAAGCTATCCATCTTGCTTACAGCATGTTGGTGGTTCTACTCAGGTGCCCATTTGTGACTGAAATAATGTACAGAGGAGCACGACACAAGTAACGCTGGAAGTTGGCACATTTACGTTGGAGTGACATAAAACCCAACCAAGAAAAGAACAAAATAGAATTACCATGTGTGCTTAGTTTTGCCACTCAAATATAGCCAGACAAAACCCGCACATTGATTTAGTCCAATATCAGATTTTCAAAATATTTTGATTTACCAGTATATCTTATTTATCAAATAAATAAGTTTAATAAATTTGTACTGCATCTGGTATGTAAATAAAGATATTTATCAAACATAAGTTTGAGTGAGATTTTTTGAAACATACACTTAGACTTAGATATTTAATAACATACATCTGGGATATAAAAACTTAAGGTTTGAATGAGTTGTATATGATAAAAAACAAATCTTGGATGTAAGAAAACAAAGGTTGTTTCAGTAACATTAGTGTTCACATGCTTGTATAATCAAGGTATGTTTGCAGCGGTGCCTTATTAGTACTAAAACCTGTGATTTCACATGCCATCCTATTTATTCAATTTTATTCATTTATTTATTTATTCACCTCTTACACATAAGATCATGTTCCTACAGAGCGATTTGCAAGTCTTTGACACTTACATATCATAGACTGTTAAAGGAATTACACATATGTGTTAATACAAATGTATATTTAGTTTTGTTAAATAAATAAAAACTGACATTAGGCTGCTAAAATGCTTCTTCCTTGACATTAATAAGCAGAGCAATAAACTTCCTGAAGTATTTTAAAAACATCCATGATATAAATATATCAGTATTGTAAGATCTGAATACCTGTTGTAATAAACTATGGTTTGAATCATAAGATACAATATGTATCCAGAACTCGGCAAATGTGGACTTTTTCATTTGATATATGATTCTGGGGTACATACCATAAATTTTGCCTTTTAATTCTACAATATGTTCTACCATTTATCAACATGATGTGTTTTAAATTGATATATTGACCAAGTTGTAATTGTAAAACTTTGATTTTACCCCAGGATTATATGGGATAAGCCAACACTGCAGAGTTCTGGGGTATCTCAATTTGAATATTTCTTTCCCTTTTGGATCACAACAAACACTTTGCTGTTGTTTTTTCTTAGAATTAACCATATTTATCATTTCTAATAATAGAAAATTAAACACTCTATTAATATGCTTACTTTCTATTCCAATAAAGTGATTGTATTTGATTTATATAGTTATATAGCTAAAAACAACTTTTATAGCGGGGAGAATTATTTACGTCTAGACAAGTTACTGTTTATGGTGCTACTATGGCAGACTATATCAGGCTTATTGACATTAATTACTGGAAATACTTTGTTGTCATGCTACTTTTTTAATGCTGTATGAATGTTTATTGCCGTGTATTAAACTAATGCACATGGAAACTAAAAAGTGAAACCTATTCTACAATTTTTATTTGCTGTACCGATTATTTTCAGAGAACTCTTGTTTCAATATTGAAAATGATATTAAGAATGTTTTGTTTTTCATTTTGACAATTTAGATGATTATTTTTGTGTGACATGTGCTCTTTGACATAAATGCCCATCTAAGGATGCTCGGTATTCAATGGTATTCAGTGGGATACTCAGTATTCAGTGGATATTGTCAAGGAAAGGATCGTATTGAATTGAAAGGTTGCACATCAATTTTTTTTCAAATTTTACAAGAATACTTAGGAACAATTTACCATTTCATCTTTTATGAAGTTGTCTACTATTTTTAATTTTTTGTTCTAATTTACCAGCATGTGGTCTTGTGGTGATGACTTTCCCTTTACTTCTAAAAATATGTCCTCATAAAGATCTGTAATAGAGGGTTTTACTAATCATTAATAAATATATCGAGGACTTAATGCGGCACATTTGTAATGCAAATGGCATAAAGGAGTTACAACTGTTTTGTACTAAGACCCCCATATACGTACTGGTTTTATGGACCTTTAAGATTTTTTTTGTAAGAACACATTATTATTATTATTAAGTTATGTTACAGTGGTCCTGTTTTGAGGACTACGTGAAACAAATATTGCTCTCCCTTTGTTAGTCTTTGCTCACAATTTTCATTGCCGACAATACTTTAGTGAAATTGCATAGAATGAAATAAATGAACCTTAGGTATTGTATGCTTGTTAATGATGTGAATGTGTTTTTTCTCTTCTCTGAAATTGATATATTAAGGGAATGATTAAAATAAAAGCTTTAAAAATGTAGCTGTCTTATGTGTTATTATTTTGATTGTATTGGTACTATTTACTTTTTTATACCTGGGAACAGTTTATATTTGTACTTTTGATTTAAAGACTTAACTTTTATATTTCGAGGGCTTAACGCAATAAGGTCATAACAGGTTACTACACTTTTTTTCCAAAAATGGTTTTATATCACTTTTTTAGCTCGCCTGTCACAAAGTGTCTGTGCATGGTGAGCTTTTGTGATTGCTTTTCGTCCGGCCTTAAACTTTAACTTTAAACGACATCTCCTCATAAACCACTAAGCCAATTTCATCCAAACATAACAGGAATGTTCCTTTGGTGGTCAACTTTAAAAATTGTTCAAAGAATTTAATTCCAAACAGAACTCTGGTTGCCATGGCACCATGGCAACCAAAAGAAAAAACTTAAATTATCTTCTATTAGAAAACCTTAAGAGCTATAGCTTAAATATTTGGCATGAAACATCATCTAGTCAGTGTCTACCAAGTTTGTTCAGGTAAAAGCCTTTGGGTCAAAATTGGCCCCACCCCAGGGGGTCAATGTTTTTCCCTTTATGTATATAGTAATAACTTAAAAAATCTTCTTTTAAAAAAACCTTTAGAGCTAGAGCTAAGATATTTAGCATGAAACATCTTCTAATGGGTGTCTACCATTTTTGTTCAAATAAGGGCCCTAGGGTTAAAATTGGCCTGCCCCGGGGGTCATTGATTTTCCTTATTTGTATATTGTAAAAACTTAAAAAATCTCCTTTTAAAAAACACAAATAGCTAGAGCTTAGGTATTAAGCATGAAACATCTTCTAGTGGTTGTCTACCAAGTTGTTCAAATAAAAGCCCTGGGGTCAAATTTGGCCCAACCCCAGGGGGGTCATTGTTTTTCCTTTTATGTATATAGTAAAAACTTAAAAATTCTTCTTTCAAAAAACCTGTAGAGCTAGAGCTAAGATATTTAGCATGAAACATCTTCTAATGGGTGTCTACCATTTTTGTTCAAATAAGGGCCCTAGGGTTAAAATTGGCCCGCCCCGGGGATCATTGATTTTCCTTATATGTATATAGTAAAAACTTAAAAAATCTTCTTTTAAAAAAACCTTTAGAGCTAGAGCTAAGATATTTAGCATGTAACATCTTCTAATGGGTGTCTACCATTTTTGTTCAAATAAGGGCCCTGCCCTAGGGTTAAAATTGGCCCGCCCCGGGGGTCATTGATTTTCCTTATTTGTATATTGTAAAAACTTAAAAAATCTCCTTTTAAAAAACACAAATAGTTAGAGCTTAGGTATTAAGCATGAAACATCTTCTAGTGGTTGTCTACAAAGTTGTTCAAATAAAAGCCCTGGGGTCAAATTTGGCCCCACCCCAGGGGGTCATTGTTTTTCCTTTTATGTATATAGTAAAAACTTTAAAAATCTTCTTTCAAAAAACCTGTAGAGCTAGAGCTAAGATATTTAGCATGAAACATCTTCTAATAGGTGTCTACCATTTTTGTTCACATAAGGGCCCTAGGGTTAAAATTGGCCCGCCCCGGGGATCATTGATTTTCCTTATATGTATATAGTAAATACTTATAAAATCTTCTGTTAAAAAACCCAAAGAGCTAGAGTTTTGATATTAGGCATGAATTATCTTCTAGTGAGTGTCTACCAAGTTTGTTCAAATAAAAGCCCTGGGGACAAAATTGGCCCTGCCAAGAGGGGGGGGGGGGGGTTATTGTTTTTCCCTTTATGTGTATAGTAAAAACTTATAAAATCTTCTTAGAGCTAGAGCTTAGATATTTATCATGAAACAGCTGCAAATGGGTGTCTACCAAGTTTGTTCAAATAAAAGCCCCTGGGTTAAAATTGGCCCTGCCCCGGGGGGCTATATACAGGTGAGCGATTTCAGGGCCATCATGGCCCTCTTGTTTAGTTTTTATTTTAGTCTTACTTATGAACTCTGAAAATTTGAACAAAGTTTATTATTTATTTATATCTTTTTAAAAGTAAACTTACTAAAATAAGGCACGTTGTGTTTAAGTCTTCTATATCCTATTAACGTCCACTGTCAAAAGTGTTGGGGTGATAGCATGAGAATTGAGACACGTCTTTACCTGTCAAAATGTTCCTTTACTACTGAGTCAATTCAGTTATTTTATTTTAGCAACAAAGATTGGGATATAGCAGCTTACTTACATTATGTAGAAAATTGTTGTGGATCACACCATTGGATATTTTATTAAATCTTAAAGTGGTAGTCCACAAATCAAAGTCACTATTCTTTTCCATGTGAATAGGGCAAAACATAATGACAAGTGCATAAGGAATTAAAGTACTTAAAGGTATTAATGGATGGCAAGTTTTTTGAAAAAATGCTCATTAATATGTTTTTTCACAAACAAACCAAGTGATCTAAATAGTTATTCAATAAAGTTGAGCCCAATCCCAATGTAATACTATATTTAGAGAAGATGGACAAAACCGCACATGTCAAAACATATTACGGGTAATTACTTCCTGCATACAGCTTATTCTATTTTTTATTTCATAAATATTCTATTTTGATAGAATTATATGTAGACATGGTACCATATTGCATAACAAAAAATAGTCATGTTTAATGTAAATCTTACTGCAATATGGGCGTAAGTATGCTTACACCCTTATTGCATATAATATTATATCTCAAATTAGGTGTAAAAGTTATGCAACAAGGGCATACAAGTTATAAAATTGCAAATAAAGTGTTTTTTACATAATTTATTTTGATGTTGTTATAAGTTATATGTAGAATGTATATTTTCATATTACAAAACAAAGTAATGTAATGGGAATATACAGAAACAAGAAAATGAGTTAGTTTTTTTGCTCTACTGTAAAACTTTCAAAAATGTAGTTACACCCTTATTGCCTAAAGTCATCGATTTGCAGAGTAATTACCCTTGACTTAGTAAAAACCATTTCAAAATGTTGTGTTATTTGTATCTTGAGTGCTTAAGTCAGAATCAACCAACTTTTCAGGAATGATGATCAACATCACTGTGAAGCTGTGCACCTGGGGTTTTGCATGTAAATATTTTTTTTCAGTTTTGTTAGAGTTACTGCCTTTGACTTAGTATAAATTATAGACTTGTTCATGCATAGCTCAAAAAATATTTGACCTGTAGTCCTTAAAGTATACAAGAATGTTGGTCAGCATGTGTCATTTTGTACTGTGGATTTATTCAGTATTTGTTGAGTTTATGTCATTGACTTAGTAAAAAGATTTTCAGTTTTCAACTTGTGTCACATGTCAGAGAGTCAGTAGATTGACAAAAACAGTGGAATGTGGCGGCACCTGTGTCGTAATACACATTTCTAGTCGAATTTTAATTTTATTTTTATTTTTGCCTTAAATGTCATGAGTAATTTTTTTGCCAATTCATAATAATATTCAGAAAATTTGAAATTAAAATCTGAAGTAGAACTTCTTTTATTGGCTGTTGAAATATATTAAATTATAATTATTAAATTGTAATTAAACATGCCACCTATTTGGATAATGTTTTAATCCACATCAAAATACACAGAAAGTTTACTTTAATAACCCTTCGGTTTTCAGAGGATTTTCATGCATGTTTAAGATAATTAGTAGACTGGTTGACTTGCGTTGAATTCTCAATTTTGATTCTTTGACGAGTTAGTTATATAATTATTAGTGATGGTTGTTGTCCTCTGTCTTAGTTAAGATGCTGCCTGTTAAGTGAATTAATATACATGTATACACTGTCTTGGTTTTCATAATTAGTTGATAACAATATGTCATATTGTAATCATCTATTCCTTTATACAGCTAAAATGTTGTGAATGGTATGTATAAAAATATTACAATTCAGGTAATTCTTTCAAGTTTATAAACATTAGCACAAAAGGAAAATGTTTTACATGTGAGATTTTCCCAATCCATTCCCATTAGCTTACTCTACCTATTTTATACTTATAATTGTATGGGTCAATGTATATAATAAATATAAAGTTAGATTAATCAACAGTCGGCCTTATGTTGTGTGCACATGATCATACTAGATTGAATGTTTATTTTTTTTAATACAATCTGGTCAATAGGAAAATATGAAAAATGCTTTACTATTAGACATTTTTAGGAGGATATTGATACCAAAATATATATGAAAAATGAAATACAACATTAAATTTGAAAATATGCATGGTCCACCTCGTCTCAATCACGGTCCGCCCTGTCCCAAAATATGGTCCGCCCTGTCCCAAAATATGGTCCGCCCTGTCCTAGTGTGAAAGCGTTTAAATTTTAAATAACTTCTGTTTAACACATATGCAAATTTATGTTTAAATTCATATTTAGCATGGTAACTGACAATCTTTTTCAATTGCGGGATCAGTTATCAAATATATTACTTCTCGTTGAAAATCAATCAGTGTAACTTACTGCACGTCATAAAACTATATGCTCAAGTAAAACAACTCGCGATATGAAAAAGTTATAAACCTCTTTAAAAAAAAAAAATCGCTTCATTCGCTTGTTTGTTGTACTTTCAAGCTTCGGAAAAATACCGCAAGTTGAGCAATTTTTCCCCACTTAACCACGTGTTTTGATAATTATTTTTTACTTTCCATGCTAGATCTTTATGTATTTATAAATGGATTTCTCGACTGAAATTGTTTATAAAAAGCGTTCTTTGTAGTGTAAAAAATCAACGACAATTTGGCAATTATATTGGCTGTAAATAATTACACATTTTGCATTCTTAAGTAAACTTAATATGATATCATGGTCGCAAGTTAAGACCGAATATTTTTTATAGTTTCTCACGTGTGTTAAACCTTTTCTTTTATGAACCTATCATCCTGTCATTCTTTTGTTTAAATCGATAAAATGATATGCACCACTGGAAGACTAAGGTTGTATACACTTAATCATAACTTATAACCTCCACTTTGAAGAGCATGATTGAATTACTAACAACTGCAATGAAACTTGGGGTCGTGGGTCCACGCCCATGTAAGTTTTCCCCCAAGGTAGCTGTTTTATAAAGAAAAAAAAAATTATATCTTATTTAAAGTAAATTAATATTTTAGGTACTAATCGGCTGAATAAACAAAACTGTACCTTAAATTTTCAAATTAAAAAAAAAATCAAGATTTTAGTTCAAATTTTACAAACAGTTGTCAACACAGCTCTGTTGTTACATTTTTCAGTTCTTGGTAGTACTCATTCAGGTTAATTGAATGGTTTTAATTTCTATCAGCAGTAAAACAGATTTAAATATTATATTTTTATAATTATGTCCGTGTATATTATAAGTAGTTTCCCCCTGATATCAGTTAAAATTCTGAAATATTTCAAGACCACAATTGACGTATGGAATATCTTAAAATAACATTGCCTACTTTTTCAATTTTGACTTTTGGTACCAGGCTGTGAAACGCTGGCTCTATAACCTCTGATCCCCTTATATAAAATATTTGGTGCTCCTTTCCTTTCTCGTTGAGGGCACGCGTTTTCACAGAGTAACATTAAAATTCATATGGTCATGGAATTGTATTAATACAATTTGGGCAAATTTGTAGCTATTATAAATAATAACTGTTGAATTATGCTGAACATAAGGTGATGTTGTACGCAAATATTTAAAAAATATTGGTTGTAGAAGCGGAGGTCAAGTAAAGTGCGCCATTTGGAATTTGAAGTGACAGATAAATGAAGCAAAGAAATAGTATTATACGATTGGTCAATAGTATTCCGGTAATTATCTTAACCAATCAAATCCTTATATAATATTCAGAGCGGAACAGTATATACATGCGCTATACATGGCGATAAAATACTGTCACAAGCGAGATCCTTGTGTATTTTTTAATGAATTACGTACGAAGAGGGCATTTGATCAGTGAAGACTTCGCAGATCGATAGGAAAAGAGTTTGTTTATGTACGTTTTTGTACGTGGAAATTCTAGCTGTTTTTTGTTTTTTTTCGTAAAAATCGATCAGAAATCGTGTTTGTATACATGAATGGACTGGACGTCGAAAACGACATGAATTGAAAATAATGGCATTTTGCGAAACTTTTCCCAATTTCTTTGCTATTTGAGGGATTTTAATGAAATAAAAAGCGTTGGCACTTGGATTGATCTTTTCAGATGGCGACCAGAAAGAGATAACCGTGATCTGGTCGTTTATTGCAGCAGTGTTCTTGTTTGTTCTGCATGATGTTTTTGTTTCGTTGGGGGCCTTATATCTTTATATACATATATAGACCGATTATGTAAAATATTTGATTATGTGACTAGCGCCTGTGGGCTATACATGTATTTCACTCAGAGAAATGAGCAAATGCAATACGTGATATATGTGGCCATGTTTGATTTCGCACGTTTATGTGAGATATGTAGTAAAATCACAAAAAAATCTTAGAAAATTCTTTATATTTTATAACACATAACTAAAAATTGTAATAGATTTTTGATCTTTGATTTTCTTCACCAAAGCGCAGAAACAGACGCAAGTAAAGATGTGTGAACGTTCACAGGTGGCAGTATCAGTGTTTGGACACCCCACCCGTATCTGCCCCTCGACCCCTACCACAACCCTGAAAAAAAAATTCAACACTCTAAGGCTAACTATAAGGTATCAAATACAAAACCACCGATAAAATTATTTATAAACATTTTTTTCCACTATCAAAATTACAGTATACTGGTTGGGGACCACCAACCCGGACAACCACCAAACCCGGACAGCCCCGAAAATGATTAATTTAGTATTTTCTTTGTTCAGTGGTTGTCAGTCACTTTTTTATCAACAATAAGTGCATGTTTCTTTTAAAATTAAGTAAATAAATTTATTTCAACCTCCGTAAATGGTAATTTTTTAATGTCTATTCAAGAATGATCTGAATGTTGACGTTGAAATTCGGGGGGTTAAGAAAACAATGCCTGACCTCATATACCAGCTATAATCATTTGCAGAGTGAATAATAGAATATCCAAAACTTAAGCATTTGTTGCTGACATATTGTATATCATGTTACAAATCAAAAATCAAAACACCCAAACTTTTATCTGAATTAAATGATATCATGGACATATCTGTCCGGACACATGGTACTTTAGTGTAGACAATTTAGGTAATTTTGATACCCTCCTTGTCGAGTCTCAGACATAAGTGTCAATACAATCAAAAATAAACAAACTAGTTTGTTAGTTAGGAGAAAAACCTAGCTGAACTGTGTCAAATTTTTTGGTCTCTAGGTTAAAAATTATGAAATCTGTACGGAAAAATGTTCCAAAAGTGTCCGGTTGATGGTCTCCGACCAGTAGTTATAACTATAATTTTGATAGTGGAAAAAAATGTTTATAAATAATTTTATCGGTGGTTTTGTATTTGATACCTTATATTTAGCCTTAGAGTGTTGACTTATTTTTTTTCAGGGTTGTAGTAGGGGTCCAGGGGCAGATAGGGGTGGGGTGTCCAAACACTGATACTGCCACCTGTGTGAACGTTGCACAAGTTAATAAACTAAACGAAGTTCTTAGTCATTACGGTGATGTACTATTCACGATATAAGTGAAGTTATGACATTTGAAAGTGATAAACACGCATTAAAGAACTAAACTTAGTTTATATAAATCTATGGAAAGAAACTCAGTAACTGAGTAATGAACTGTAAGTATATGAATATTATGTCACGGATAAGATTGACAGAGGTATCACGGTGCTTAAATTACTGCCTTTTGTTTCTGGCCTCCTTTCATAAATATAGTTCTCATAGTTCTAAGAGTTTTTGCTATAAACAATCTAGAGTACTAGCGTTGAAATCAATGCAATTTAATATTTGGGACCGGGGATAAAATGTCCGTTAAATACATTAGTTTACAACAGCCAGTTGAAACTGACCAAAATACGAGTTAATTCTTATGTAAATACATTTCCAGAATGTACACAGGATTTATGTTCAGTTTAAATCATACTTCGATAATTCATCACATCAATATAACAAAGACTATATTATCAATATAATTATATTTACTGTCTACAAATTTATAAAAAATAACAGGTGATCAACAGCACATAGGGGTCGCAATCATTGAAGAGGAGAATGGGGGGAGGAACTGTTACACGAAGAATGGAGTTCTTATGATAACTGTCACGGAGTTCCTGGAAAACGTTACAGATTTTTAGCTCACCTAAGCATATGCTCAGGGTGAGCTATTAGGATCACTCTTCGTCCGTCGTCTGTCGTCCGTCGTACGTCGTCCGTTGTCCGTTCACACTTTTAAAACGACATCTCCTCTGAAACCATAAGTCAGATCATAATGAAACTTCACAGGGATGTTCCATGTGTGAAGCCTTAACAAAGCTGTTCAAAGAATTCCATTCCATGCAGAACTCTGGTTGCCATGGCAACCAAAAGAAAAAACTTTAAATATCTTCTTCTAAAAACCCAAAGAGCTAGAGCTTAGATATTTGACATGAAACATCTTCTAGTGAGTGTCTACCAAGTTTGTTCAAATAAAAGCCCTGGGGTCAAAATTAGCCCCGCCCCAGGGGGTCATTGATTTTCCCTATATGCATATAGTATAAACTTAAAAAATCTTCTTTTCAAGAACCTAAAGAGCTAGAGCTAAGATATTTAGCATGAAACATCTTCTAATGGGTGTCTACCAAGTTTGTTCAAATAAAAGTCCTGCGGTCAAAATTGGCCCCGCCCCAGGGGGTCAGTGATTTTCCTTATATGCATATAGTAAAAAACTTGAAAAATCTTCTTTTAAAGAACCGAAAGAGCTAGAGCTAAGATATTTAGCATGAAACATGTTCTAATGGATTTCTACCAAGTTTGTTCAAATAAGAGCCCTGGGGTCAAAATTGGCCCCGCCCCGGGGTCATTGATTTTCCTTATATGTGTATAGCAAAACCAAATAGCTAGAGTTTAGATACTAAGCATGAAACCTCTTCTAGTGAGTGTCTACCAAGTTTGTTCAAATAAAAGCCCTGGGGTCAAAATTGGACCCGCTCCGTGGGTCATTCATTTTCCTTATATGTGTATAACAAAAACTTAAAAAATCTTCTTTGAAAAAACTCAAATAGCTAGAGTTTAAATATTAAGCACGAAGCATCTTCTAGTGAGTGTCTACAAAGTTTGTTCAAATAAAAGCCCTTGGGTCAAAATTGGCCCTGCCCCAGGTGTGTCATTGTTTTTAACTATATGTGTAAAGAAAAAACTTGACCAGCTAGACCTTAGATGTTTAGCATGAAACATCTTCTAATGGGTGTCTTCCAAGTTTGTTCAAATAAAAGCCCTGGGGTTTAAACTGGCCCCGCTCCGGGGGCCTATATACAGGTGAGCGACTTCAGGGCCATCATGGCCCTCTTGTTTCTATATACTTGGAGAACTCACGTGAAAAAATGGTCATTTTTACCTTTAAATGGGGAGCTTGAGGTGCTTTATTAAACTTTGATAATAAAGCTTGCCCTACATATTATATTATGTTTCAGATAAACCTTTTAGTCCATTTTCATCGTTTTTTTTTAAAGAAAAATCAGGTAAAATTAATTAGCTAGGGCTTTATTCTTGCAACTCTCCATTATAATTAGGTAATTAAATATAGCAACGAAGAAGATCACAAATGAAAAGGTCAATATGTACGAATAAGCAAGTAATTTGGAAATTTTACTCAAAACTTCAAGATTTAAAAAAAAAGAAAGGTTATCACAAGCTATTCATGAGAACTCCATCCTTCGTGTAACAGTTCCTCCCCCGTGAAGTTATGAATTCGAAATGTTTCACTTTCGGTTTTAAAACCTATTTTTTTATCGCGAAAACTTATATTACAACCACAGAGATGACACAGAATTGTATAAACTTTATTGCAAAAATGCCAAAATAAATGAAATAGAAATAAGCTAAATATAGAATACACCTAAGCTTTATTAATAGAAATAAGCTAAATATAGAATACACCGAAGCGTTACGATTTTGCGCTAGAGATTCAAACATACATACATTACGATACAATATGGATAAGTTTATACTTTGTTGTTTTCTCTGGATTTGTCCAGTTTTTGGTAAGTTATTTATCTAGTTCTATATTATGACAGGACAGTTTTTTCATTGATTCATATAGGAAAAAAACTCGACTGTTATATATCGGATATATCGGTTGAGTTTTTTTCGCACCTTGTATCACGCTCGGCAAACTGTCGCTCCACTTCAAAATTGTGGTGTACGGTAAAACGAGCGAACGGCATTTCCGAGATAGAGCGGAAGGCCGATTTAAACGGCTAATTCAAGGGGCAGGACGTGAAGTGGTTGCACACTTGGTTCAAGCGAGCGAATTGGTTGCAAACTTGACAAAATGGCAAACACGGCGTGATTTTTTGAAACGGGTGAACGAATTTTTGCCAGGCAAGTGGGTTTCTTTGTGATTTTGAAGTTCATTAGTATGTCTATTCCATAATGCAATATATATGCCACACTCGGTTAAAGGTTTCAGCATCCTAGATTCTGTTTTGACGAAGTTATTGAAGATATAAACTGATCATGTAGATATTTTGAAATTTGACATGTGACTGTTTTGGTCGGTTTTTCTCCTAATTTATTCGAATTTGTAAGTTTTGAACTGCATTTAACAATAACAAAATATGTTTCTGTCAATGCTGTACAAATGGTTTAGTTCGCAAGTCCGAAGATAACATTCAATACACAAAAATATATTGTTCAAGCACATTTTGGTTGCAGACTTATACTTCAAGCATTTTTGGTTGCAAACTTTTGTGTCAATAATGTGGCTGCATATTTTTAGCGAGGAATAACTTATCTTTTTTTAAAATAATTAGCAATATTAAGGCAATTATACCCGTTCATCTAATAAGAAATATATATACAAATTGTGCATGCGTGCAGATATATATCTAACACGGGGTCTTTCAAATAGATATAAAACACAATATGCTAAATTGAAGTTTAACACAATATGCTAAATTGAAGTTCAGTTGTGTTTATCTTCATCATTTTTTCTCCTCGATATACTTCTTTTCTTTTTACATAGTCGTAGGACTTTTTTTTATCTTGGCATGACTAACAGTAAAGGAAAAGAAGAAAAAATAGCAACAAACAGCTTTCATTATTGTTTTTTTTTTTTTTTTAGATTTGAAATAAATTTGATTATATAGTAGATAAAAACTATATTAACATTGACACAAGGGCATTATTCACACGTTTCTTTAAATTGTTCCTTATTATTGACCAATCGAAACATCTTCCAAATTCCCTAACTCGAACAATGACTTTAAGTAGTTTTGTCACATATCAGTCAATGTAAATTACCAATCGTATATCAGTTATATTATGATCTAATAGTCAAAATAATTTTTAGAATACCAATTGACATATATGATATGTACATCAAATCCGAAATATTGTAAACAAGCATGTCATTTAAACTTTTGGTTTATAAGTACATTTACATACATGTCTAAAGCAACTGCTGATCTTTACATACGAAACAAACAAAATAACATTTATTGTGGTTTTGATAAACTTTGGAAATTTTTTCGAGTAACATCGTATGTGTGCACATGTCCTTATGTTTATAATGAAAATAATTCACTTACATACAGCAGTACTCTCACATACGTTTGTTTTGTATGTATTTTTCATTTGCATTTTACATATGATGACATATTTTAGAATTGAAGTATCAATAAATATTTTTCTTCTATGTGCTAATATTTTGTTTGCAGGCTTTTACTGATGATTATAGTATTGAACTGAGAACCATGTAATTTGAAACATAAAGTGCATACTTGTTTTAAAAGAAGAAAGTATAAATAACATTTATAACAAAAACAAGTAAAAGAACATAAATGTCAATAATTGCCATTGAAATAGGTTAATAAATATAAACTACTACAATCCTTTTGCAAAGTTTTACTATGGATTTCAATAGAATAAGAATAAGTTTGCAACCAAAAATGCTTGAAGTATAAGTCTGCAACCAAAATGTGCTTGAACAATATATTTTTGTGTATTGAATGTTATCTTCGGACTTGCGAACTAAACCATTTGTACAGCATTGACAGAAACATATTTTGTTATTGTTAAATGCAGTTCAAAACTTACAAATTCGAATAAATTAGGAGAAAAACCGACCAAAACAGTCACATGTCAAATTTCAAAATATCTACATGATCAGTTTATATCTTCAATAACTTCGTCAAAACAGAATCTAGGATGCTGAAACCTTAAACCGAGTGTGGTATATATATTGCATTATGGAATAGACATACTAATGAACTTCAAAATAACAAAGAAACCCACTTGCCTGGCAAAAATTCGTTCACCCGTTTCAAAAAATCACGCCGTGTTTGCCATTTTGTCAAGTTTGCAACCAATTCGCTCGCTTGAACCAAGTGTGCAACCACTTCACGTCCTGCCCCTTGTAATTGTAAGTACTGTTTATGTTTTTGTCTTGTTATTTATTTAAGTTGTATTTTTTCGAAAAGCGGAAAATGTAGTTCCGTGTAGGATTGATTTAGGCTTCCAATGATCTAAGCTGTTACAAAAAGAAAATTATATCAAGCCTGGGAGAATTTTTTCTCCCTGACGAAGCGAACGACGATTTGTAGAGTATTGAACTTCCCAACCATAGAAATGCCATACCTTTCGGATTTCTTGAAAAAGTGTATTACTAAAATATCAAAGCGTTATAAGAACTTGTCCTTCGTGCAACATAAATTACTACCGAAGGATTTCTTAAATTTGTAAATCGATATTTTTCGAAAGTAGTGTAGCCAAAGGGCAAGAGATGGAGCAAAAGCTTCGAGGTTGAGCGCAAGGCGATATTATTTTTCCGTATTTGGAGTAGCGTAGTATATGATTTTTATATATAAAAGCTAAAGAAGTTAAAATAGACACGATCAAGTGTTGAGACCGAGATATATATAAGTAATAGAAAGAGCACCGAAACACGGGGCTATCTGATTTGTACGAGGGTACGTAGCCCCCGAGTATAAATCAGATTGCCGAGTGTTTTGGTGTTCTTTTTCTTTTGTATCATAGTCAAACATAAAAACACGTTCCCTGTTGTCACAATTTTAAACCCCGGGAAAAAGTAACCAATGATCGAGCATCTGAATATGATATTTCTGCCGCTTTCCCTTTCTCTGCCGTCACAATATGTAAACCCCAGCAAAAATGAGCCAATCAACGGGCATGATCTGGAGTGCGGGTAACTGATACCTGCACTCCAGTTACCGCACTGTGCATGTATATGTATACGATTTAACTCTGACACTTTTTCAACAGAAAAGTCCCCAAACTATGATACAACAACTAATAAAGTGTGATATCCTTTCAACGTCTACACGCCCGTTTAACTCACAACGAGTGAAAAATGTCCATCGGTAAAAATGTTGTGAGCAACTTCCGTTCCTCGTTGTGAGCACCCATCTATGACGAGAGACACGATAAACAAGGTGAGTTTTTCATAATTTTTGAAGATTACAGACATTTATGTAAAAATATCGGAATGCATTTAGCTAGCGATGTGTTTTCCGAGTATGCACATGTAAAGATATTGCCTGTTGGTGGACAATTTGATGGAAATACCGTGCGACGCAGTCACTCGGGGTAGCTGGAAAACTGGAGACAACTTCTCTTTGGACCTAATTTAACATTGAAAACGTCGATTCTGGTGACGTTTTGTGCATTCTAACATAAAACAGATGCCCACAAGTCTTCAGCGTAAATTATTATCTGAAAGTCTTCGTAGAAACGAAGATATACTCTTTTTTTGCTTTAATCCTCGTTGTGAGCACTATAACCTCGTTGTGAGAAAGACAAGCGCAGTGCTTGTCTGGTTTTAATATGTAATTCAAATGGCAAGAATACAATTTTCAATCTCCAAAAGCAATCAAAACGTTTTTGTACAATAGTTTTTCTTTGCAATAGTTCTTCTTTTTCTTTTTTTGAAAATTATTCTTCATATTCACAAGTCATCAGATTAACAGAAGAACTAATCAGTGGAGGTAAATCAGGTATTTTATTTCGTATACTCTAGTGTGGCACGAGTGAACATCACGGGGTGTTTATGAATATTTCAACAATTTCACAAGCTGTGTTTATCCTGGGCTGAAGACTGACCAAGTTATGTAAAACAAGAACTATCACGGTAAGTTGACAATGTCCCTGAAGTGGTGCTTTGTCCTTTGATTTATGGACCAGATAGATTATTTGTTTTTGGACAATTAGATCTTCAATGTGAAGGTAATTCAAGGTCAAGGTGAAATAAATATAGGTCAGTTGGAAGGTCTTGTCCAAAGGGGCATTGTGTCCAAATATGAATTAATTCCACTTACTTATAAAGAAGTTATGACCAATGTTAAAGTTTTTGGATGTTCTAGAAGGTCATTCACAGTACAATGAAAAAAAATACAGATCAGTTTGAAGGTCTTGCCTAAAGGGGTGTTGTTTCAAAATATGAGTAGAGTCCGTATATTAATAAGGAAGTTATGACCAATTTTTAAGTTTTTGGACAATTTGACCTTCAAGGTGAAGGTCATTCAGGGGTCAAGGTCAAAAGAATATAGGATAGTCGAAAGGCTTTGTCCAAAGATGTGTTGTGCCTAAACATTATGCCAGGACATTATGGCCAGTCTTAAATGTTTTTGGACAATTTGACCTTCAAGGTAAAGGCCATTCAGGGGTCAAGGTAAAAAATACAGGTCCGTAGGAAAGTGCTAAGGGATGTTGTGTTCCAATATGAATCAAATCCGTTTACTAATAAGGAGGTTATGGCCAATGTTAAAGTTTTCGGACAGATTGACGGACTGACAGACGGACAGTTCAAAACTAATATGCCTCCCTTTGGGGTATGCACAACGTCTTGCAAAGAAATGCTGCTGTGCAAAAACGTTTTAATTGCTGTGGTAGATTTGAAATTATATTTTCACCATTTGAATTTCATATTAAAACCATACACGCACTGCGCTTGTCTTGCTCACAACGAGGTTATGGTGCTCACAACGAGGATTAAAGCAAAATTAAAGGGTATATCTTCGTTTCT